TATTGCTAGCTGTAACAGCGGAGGCGCCGTTAAAAAGGTCGAGAATGGAGAATGTAAGTATTAAACGTGGCTAAACTGTAAACTGTAATTTGTTTACCCACGAAGCACTTAGGAATTCTTAAGAACTCTTTAAGTGTATCGTTGCTTTCCAGAATGAATTGGAATTCGGAAGTGTTGGTTTTTGAGGAGAGGAAAAACCGGAGAACCTGAATAAAACCTATCGGAGCAAAGGAGAGAACAAACAACAAAAAACAAACTCAACCCACATATGGCGTGAACTCCAAGAATCGAACCCGAGCGACAGTGATTGCCACTCAGGGTTGTCATGGTTTCATGGTTGTGCATTGCATCAGCTGCAGTGTGTGACTCTACCACCCTCTCCCCCCACTCTCATCCTTGTTGAGGAGTTTGACAGGCCTTTGTAGTTACACCATTGGCCAGTTTAGTGTCGTATTCAGGGAGGATCGTGGCATGAGCTGCATTTGCTAAGCTTCAACTTTTCAACAATTTGTATGATACTAACATTTGCACGCGAACGGCAGAGTTCTAAAGTTGGCTTTAATGTGGCTTAGCTGGTTTTTGTATGTATCCTGCTTTACATTTGTTTCAAATCAAAATTGCCCTTAAAGGTTCCCTTGATAGTAGTATAGGAATTTTAAGCCATTATTTTAAGGTTTTCTTTGATTCCAATGTGTTTTCGGGTTATAAAGTAGTGCCAACAAGTCTGGATTGAAGCGACGGAGATGCGTTTGCGTTCGAAGGCTAAACAAATCGTCGTATAGCTACAATAGTTTACAAGGACAGTGCATGGTATGACTGTGACATGATTGTTTGGTTAACCTGTGTATTTCAGGTTCCAAGGTGTTTGACCCATGTGCCGTCAGCTTTTGCAGTCACAAGCGTCACAGATGTGAGGTCCAAAATGGTACAGCTGTGTGTATTTGTAACACGGCTTGCACTCTTGAGTACGTTCCTGTTTGTGCTTCTAATAACGAGACCTACCCTAACAAGTGTGATATGGAAGTCGCTGCATGCGAGAGTGGTGAACGCCTCAGAGTCGTAAAAGGTGGAAGATGTGGTAAGTAGATACTCAGGGTTTTATCTCAGTAACATGTTAGTCTGCGAGCAAGCTTTCCTTTTCGAGTGGCGAACAGAGCGAGACTCGCGAGGACGCGCGGGGACGCGCGAGCGAGCGGGCCGGAGGTAAAAAAAAAGGACATCCCCCATCCCCCTTCCCCCCTTCCTTTCCTCGCATCTCCTCTCGCATGTCTTTCGCGCGTGACTTCACGACATCCCTCAATTGGAAAGAGAAATGCCAATAACATATGTATATCTGATCCTGAAGGGTCACAATCTACATGATGCATTGTTAGATGTTTGCTTCTTGTTCTGGCTGTTAAATAGAATTTTGCCTCATTAATGCACATCAATGGCGTGTACATGTTGTTGTACTCTTCTGGCCATTGCAGTGGAATTCATCTTTCAGTCGCCACCCTAAGAGCTTTGAAACAAAGTTTGCTCGTCACAGATAATATATTTGCTGCATAAATCGACCTTGCGTAGTTGAACATGGTGCATATGTGAGAGGTTTTTCTGAGCCAAAAACTTGTTTTTCCTTCTCCGAATCCCAGATTATTTTGTCCCTCGCATTTTAAACTCTAAATAAAGCAAATGGTAAACGCTAATGAGTGCGACTATTATGACACGTTTCTCGCGCCTTGTCAAAAAGTTTCGTTTGTCACTTTACATTTTCCTCGCCCCTCTATTGCGCTCTGTTTCCCACTCGACTTCATTTCATCCCTGCTGTCTACACTCCTCGCCCCATATTTTCCTGGTCCCTTCAATGCGTGCTATTTACCTCGTCGACTTCATTTCTTACCCGCTTACCCTCTGTCTAAACGCCTAGGCCAGGGTAGGCACTTTCTTATAGGACAACTGTGTGTTTGAAGCAAAAGCTTAGTTGGACGGCTAGGAAGAAGTGTCGCACTGTGTAAAGCGGATTACGCCGCCTTAATGGGTCTTTTCACCGGCGTCAATGGTTTTGCTTTGTTTCACAGGTGGGATGACTAGAAACAAACCTGACATCTGCCCCAGTCCATGGAAGGGGCTAGATGGAATCTGTGATCGTAGGGGAGATACCTGCCAGAGTAACGCTGATTGTGATCAGCAAGGAGGAGGAAAATGCTGCTTCAACGGCTGCCAGAAAGACTGTGTTCAGTTTGGTGAGTTAAATGAGCTGGGTAGTGGTAAAATTGATGGTTTTGTATATTTTGTTTGTTAATACGAGCACCGGAGAACGTATTAGCCGAGCAGAACGTCTTTTGTTTTCAAATTCTCGGGTACCTAAAGGTGATTCGGGAGTGTTATGAATGACATTTTCATACAAATTCAGGCAAAGTGAAACTGGAAGAAAAGCGTTGTCCGGCCGCTGTTTTAAGTTTACTCGAGTGCATCCCATGGGTTTGGTTTGTCCATCCGTGCAAATATTTGGACTTGTCTTTCTGCAGCGTTTTTTGTGTTGACTATTGAGCTGCTCTCTTTTTAATGCGCCGTTGCCATATTACGAACTCTACTCGGGGACTACCCTTAAATTGCATCCGGAACTCCACAAAGCAAAATGTACAAAAAAAAAGTCACATGATGATGCCAAAAGTGAACACATGTTCCCGCCATTCCCGCGCGTCCATGATCCCGCCATATAAAACTGTAAGGTCATGAGCACAAATAACATACTAGTTAGTTCTACCGCTTTATGGTTAATTATAGGCGGTCGCTTTCTTAGCCTGGAGTCCCCTTATGAGCCCTTTGCAGCTAAACAATGCAATCATAGGGTACAAAAACACCTTGAGGGAGTGCAAAACAGTAGGAACGTGGGTTGAACGTCAAACGTTAGCCGAGAATCTCAAGATTCGAGGGAAACATAATTACTTGTTTCCCGAGGGACCAGTCTTATTACTGTATTTGTCATATAGCTGGAAATTATGAAGCTGGAAGTTCATTAAACCTCACTGTAACGGCGGTGGTCGGTCAACATGCGTGGGTAGCAGGGCACTGTTCAGAGAATTTAGCGGGAAACAGTTTCATTGTTAGATGTCATGTGACCTCGAGGTAACCAATGAGAGCGCGCGCTGGTGGGAAAAAATTTCCAGCTGTATAACAATTGGATTTATGCAACTGGTCCCAGGAGTAAACATGATTAACTTCTTTTGTAGGTAAACTAAAATGCCCTCAAAAGTGTCACCCTAATGGCCGGTGCGTAGAGCTGGTGTTTGGCGGCCGACGGTGTGTTTGCAATCCTGGATTTGCAGGGGATGGAATAGAGTGTTCAGGTGAATCATTTTTGTGTAAAGGGTTTATCAATGTGTATCATTTACTGTTAAACTCAAGGTGCCACTTTAGAAACGAGGAGGGAACTGGGACGAGTCAAATGAGCCAGAGACTTCTGGGACTGTTTGCGTCCCCAGTAGCGATCCCACAAACTATTGCGGGAAGCATTTCGGCTCCAGTACCTTTCTCGTTCCAAAGATCACGCGGATCATGATGCATGAAAGGAACTAATGAATCCTCCCTCTCCAGACGGGATTTAGCGGTTCCTTTGATACATTCTGATCTGAGTGATGTTGGATCATTGATCCTGATCCGGATCATCCCAAAAGAACGTACCCTCAGAAAACCGTGAACACCTGAAATTTTGGATATTGTGCTCCAAAGGAAAAGCCCATCAGAACATTGTGCTTTGCTTGCATATTCTTTTTTCTTTTTCTTTTTCTTTTTTTTGTGTCCTTGGTCACTACGTGTTGATCATTCTTAAAATATTTCAGTTTTTCTAAGCCAAGTCTTATCTCTGTATTGTTGGCCGTTTTCATTGTTCTCTGAGTGTACGGTTGAATTGCACAACCTTGTATGTAGTACTATGGGTATGTACAGTTGGGGTGTAATGAAATTTAGTAAGTTTGGTTTGTCCTTGTGTGGATTTCAAATCTTTCCAGGTGTAGGGGCACTGGGGGTGCACTTTCACGAAAACTCAAGGAGTGCTCCCACGATTATATATGGCGTTGTTAGATTTCGGTTGACACACGTTCAGCGTGATTAAAACGATTCTAAATTGATTGTGAACTTTTGAAGACTCCACACGCTTTGTGATTGGCTGAGAAATAGACTGAGAGTTGTGGTCATTTATTTTCCTCTTGAACATTTGCCAAAACGGGAGGACAAGTGGAAATGTCTTCCCTCCTTCCATTTTACGCGCGCTCGGGTATTGTTCTCGCTCTAGCATTTCCGGGGAAAATCAGGGATTACAGTTGAGCCTCTATTAAGCGGCATTAATCAAAGTCCCGAATTAATTGTAGAAAAGAAAAAAAAAATAAAAACCCTGTTAAACGGCCACCTTTTGGCCGTCCCAACGAGTGTTCTGTCATAGTTGTCACCTCTAATAAGCGGCCATCAAGCGCTTAATCCAGTTAGTTTGGCTTTTTTTAAAGAATATGATGAAGGAAAATACAGTCCGAGAGAGAAGGTGACGACCGATTGTGGACGAGTAATGCTGCCCCCGTCTCGTGTTTGTTTCAACAGAAAAGATGTTTCCGCTAAAGGTTATGCTCATGTTATGCTAATTTATGACGAACCACTTTTGTGCGGCCAAGCGGCCACTTGCCAGTACTCCGAGGATGGCCGCTTAATGGAGGTTCAACTGTATTCGTAGTCTCGCTGAAAATCTCGCCCTGTTTTCTTCACCTCCTATTCAGTCACAACTTGCGCACTCACGAAATTAAATTAACATACTCGTTTTGCTGGTATTGTAGCTGATCCTTGCAGTGTGAAGAAATGCGACCATCATGCCCATTGTAACAATGTTGATGGCGTCGGTAAATGTGTCTGCCCAGAGGTGTGTCCAAGAATTTTTGCACCCGTGTGTGGATCCGATGGAAATGTGTATGACAACGACTGTCTGATGAGAGTCGCATCATGTAAACAACAGAAAAAGATCACATTTGCCAGCAAAGAAACGTGCAGTAAGTAGACATAAAAAGGGGAGATACCTGCCAGAGTAACGCTGATTGTGATCAGCAAGGAGGAGGAAAATGCTGCTTCAATGGCTGCCAGAAAGACTGTGTTCAGTTTGGTGAGTTAAATGGACTGGGTAGTGGTAAAATTGATGGTTTTGTATATTTTGTTTGTTAATACGAGCACCGGAGAACGTATTAGCCGACCAGAACGTCTTTTGGTTTCAAATTCTCGGCTACCTAAAGGTGATTCGTGAGTCTTATGAATGACATTTTCATACAAATTCAGGCAAAGTGAAACTGGAAGAAAAGCTGTGTCCGGCCGCTGTTTTAAGTTTACTCGAGTGCATCCCATGGGTTTGGTTTGTCCATCCGTGCAAATATTTGGACTTGTCTTTCTGCAGCGTTTTTTGTCTTGACTTTTGAGCTGCTCTCTTTTTAATGCGCCGTCGCCATATTGCGAACTCTACTCGGGGACTACCCTTAAATTGCATCCGGAACTCCACAAAACAAATGTACAAAAAAAAAGTCACATGATGATGCCTAAAGTGAACACATGTTCCCGCCATTCCCGCGCGTCCATGATCCCGCCATATAAAACTGTAAGGTCATGAGCACAAATAACATACTAGTTAGTTATACCGCTTTAAGGTTAATTATAGGCTGTCGCTTTCTTAGCCCGGAGTCCCCTTATGAGCCCTCTGCAGCTAAACAATGCAATCACAGGGTATAAAAACACCTTGAGGGAGTGCAAAACAGTAACGTCATCTTTGTTTCGTTACCCGACTGCGTTTCATGCTCGCCAGTAATTCGTTGTTGTCCGATGTGACTGCTGCAAGGGGCCTATCGACCTACTGGCCTATTGAAGAAGCTGGAGGGGCTATTGAAGAAGCTGGAGTTTGACTGGGTTGAACGTCAAACGTTAGCCGAGAATCTCAAGATTCGAGGGAAACATAATTACCTGTTTCCCGAGGGACCAGTCTTTAAGTTATTAATTTTGTCATATAGCTGGAAATGATGAAGCTGGAAATTCATTAAACCTCGCTGTAACGGCGGTCGTCGGTCGTCGGTCAACATTCGTGGGTAGCAGGGCACTGTTCAGAGAATTTAGCGGGAAACAGTTTCATTGTTAGACGTCATGTGACCTCGAGGTAACCAATGAGAGCGCGCGCTGGTGGGAAAAAATTTCCAGCTGTATAACAATTGGATTTATGCAACTGGTCCCAGGAGTAATCATGATTAACTTCTTTTGTAGGTAAACTAAAATGCCCTCAAAAGTGCCACCCTAATGGCCGGTGCGTAGAGCTGGTGTTTGGCGGCCGACGGTGTGTGTGCAATCCTGGATTTGTAGGGGATGGAATAGAGTGTTCAGGTGAATCGTCTCTGTGTAAAGGGTTTATCAATGTGTATCATTTGCTGTTAAACTCAAGGTGCCACTTTAGGAACGAGAAAGGAACTGGGACAAGTCAAATGAGCCAGAGACTTCTGAGACTGTTTGCGTCCCCAGTAGCGATCCCACAAACAATTGCGGGAAGCATTTCAGCTCCAGTACTCTTCTCGTTCCCAAGATCACGCGGATCATGATGCATGAAAGGAACTAATGAATTCTCCTTCTTCCAGATGGGATTTAGCGGTTCCTTTGATGCATGCTGATCTAAGTGATGTTGGATCATTGATCCAGATCTGGATCATCCAAAAGGAACGTACCCTCAGAAAACCGTGAACACCTGAAATTTTGGAGTGATATTGTGCTCCAAGGAAAAAGCCCGTCAGAACATTGTGCTTTGCTTGCATATTCTTTTTTCTTTTTCTTTTTTTTTTGTGTCATTGGTCACTACATGTTCATCATTCTTAAAATGTTTCAGTTTTTCTAAGCCAAGTCTTATCTCTGTATTGTTGGCCGTTTTCATTGTTTTCTGTACGGTTGAATTGCACAACCTTGTATGTAATATTATGGGTATGTACAGTTGGGGTGTAGTGTAATTTAAGTTTGGTTTGTCCTTGTGTGGATTTCAAATCTTTCCAGGTGTAGGGCACTGGGGGTGCACTTTCACGAAAACTCAAAGGAGTGCTTCCACGATTATATATGGCGTTGTTAGATTTCGGTTGACAAACGTTCAGCGTGCTTAAAACGATTCTAAATTGATTGTGAACTGTTAAAGACTCCACACGCGTTGTGATTGGCTGAAAAATAGACTGAGAGTTGTGGTCATTTATTTTACACTTGAACATTTGCGAAAACGGGAGGACAGGAGGAAATGTCTTCCCTCCTTCCATTTCACGCCCGCTCGGGTATTGTTCTCGCTCGAGCATTTCCGGGGAAGATCACGGATTACAGTTGAGCCTCCATTAAGCGGCATTAATCAAAGTCCCGAATCAATTGTAGAAAATAATGAGAACTTAAACCTCTATTAAACGGCCACCTTTTGGCCGTCCCAACGAGGGTTCTCTCATAGTTGTCACCTCTAATAAGCGGCCATCAAGCGCTTAATCCAGTTAGTGTGGCTTTTTTTCAAGATTATGATGAAGGAAAATACAGTCCGAGATAGAAGGTGACGACCGATTGTGGACGAGTAATGCTGCCCCCGTCGCGTGTTTGTTTCAAAATGGAAAGATGTTTCCGCTAAAGGTTATGCTCATGTTATGCTAATTTATGACGAACCACCTTTGTGCGGCCAAGCGGCCACTTGCCAGTACTCCGAGGAAGGCCCCTTAATGGAGGTTCAATTGTATTCGTAGTCTCGCTGAAAATCTCGCCCTGTTTTCTTCACCTCCTATTCAGTCACAACTTGTGCACCCACGAAATTAAAGTAACATACTCGTTTTGCTGGTATTTGTAGCTGATCCTTGCAGTGTGAAGAAATGCGACCATTTTGCCCATTGTACCAATGTTGATGGCGTCGGTAAATGTGTCTGCCCAGAGGTGTGTCCAAAAATTTTTGCACCCGTGTGTGGATCCGATGGAAATGTGTATGACAACGACTGTCTGATGAGAGTCGCATCATGTAAACAACAGAAAAAGATCACATTTGCCAGCAAAGAAACGTGCAGTAAGTAGACATAAATATTGTCNAATTTTTGCACCCGTGTGTGGATCCGATGGAAATGTGTATGACAACGACTGTCTGATGAGAGTCGCATCATGTAAACAACAGAAAAAGATCACATTTGCCAGCAAAGAAACGTGCAGTAAGTAGACATAAATATTGTCCAAGCATTTTTAGTAGGTTTAACCCTTTAAGTGTCAATAGTGACCAACAGCAATTTTCTCCTAACGATATCCATACATTGTCATGAGATGAGGCTATGAGAATTTATAAAATGAACACCTAAAAGAAAATACTTTGATCTGTTATCAAATTCTCTCAACTAATTCTTAAAGGAAATGTATAGAGATCAGTTTGGAGAGTTTGTATGTGGATATTGGGGCTTAAAGGGTTAACTGTCATACTATCTCAAATATAATCGAAACCATTCAGTAGATATAGTAGTGAAAGTGGAAGGTGATCTCAGGGCAAAAAAAAAAATCGCTCAGTTTGAGGTCTGTATGGTCTTTATATCTGTGAGGTTCTTAAAGAAATTTTTTCCTACCTTACTAATCATCACTGGCGTCTCGAAATTCAAACAATGTTCAGAGAGCAAAATCTCAAAAGTCACTCTCTACTTATGGGTGATCAGCTTCCTTGCAACCATTTCAGTGTCGTGTTATTCCAAGGCTGAGGTTCAAACATGCTCCAAAACAATAAAGCCTAACGAACTAAAAGTATTAAGCAGCTCGCCTAATGACTGATGAAACGTTTCCATTTTTAAATTTGATGAATTCCATGCAAGCCAGCAATTCCTTATATGAAGACGATTATTCCTGTTTTACTTATTGTTACGTTAAAGGGGCTGTGTTACAAGGATACTCCTGTATTAGGTCAATTCTGTGCTTAAGTCATTGTTTTACCCATACACAGAATATTCTTGTAGAGTTATAAAGAAGATATGTAACAAATTTTATGAGTGAGGACTAAGCGCAGAATGTTTTAGTGATTTATGCAGGCATAACATTAAACGTAAAAAATAAGCACCATTTTTCACGTTCCAATCCAGGCCTACCCTTGCCATCCATAGCAACAGACGACAAGAAACAGTTTCAATGCCAGAATATACTCTTAAATAACAAAACTTGGGCACCATTTTTGGAATTCAATTGGTGCGAAGACACGGCCTAGCTTGTTTGAGATATCAATTACAGTAAAACGCCGCGAAGAAGAACCTAGGATTTAAGATCCTGCTGGCACAAATTTGTCATTTTAATACTCCAAAATGTAAGAACCAGTTTAGCCAAGAAAAATCAACAGGTTCTTATGTTGGGTTAGACTACATTTTCATAAACATTTTGAACAAAAGTTTGTTATTATTATTTCTAGTTTATTTATTTATTTATTTAGTCAGTCAGTTAGTTAGTTAGTTAGTTATTAATATATTTAATAAATGCATAATGTATACAACCATTGTTGAAAACTGCATATCTTCTAGCTGTTAACCTAGTTTTGTTAGATTCTTGGTAAATAAATGCCTATTATGAAGGACCAATACCATTTATAGCAATTTCTTGTAATCAACAGCAGTATCCTTCTTCATTATTTAGACTAAACTTCCAATAAGTACTCCAAACTATAAGAATCTATTTTGCCAAACTTCAAAAAATCTAGGTTCTTCTTTACGGCGTTTTATTGTAGCGTGACACAGCCCCTTTAAAACATGTGATTAATATGTATTACACTCAACAGAACCAGATCCATGCAAGAAATCCAAGTGTAGTCACCCACAACATACATGTATGGAGACATCGATAGGAGCCGTGTGCGTGTGTCCCCCAACACCATGCACACTGGAGTTTGTACCTGTGTGTGGCTCAGACGGTAAAACATATCCTAACAGTTGTGTGATGAGGGTAACGGCTTGTGAAAACAGTCAAAACATCACTCTGGCAAGTCAGGGAGAGTGCAACACAAATGACACAAGTAAGCAGCTATTGATGACAATACGTTCGAATTGTGGAGGAAACTTTTCGGTAACAACTTCTTACGGTAGCAATTGTTTATAGACTTTTGCTGGAGCCGCTAATTGACTTGCGTAAAGTTTGCGATCGACTGCAGTAGTTATTCTGGAAACCTGTAATAAGCGTGACAAAAGAACCCTGTTCATACGTCGCCACCTTTTCTGCTAGTAGTTACGAGCCCGACCTAACACCTTTGATATTTGCTAAGCCGTGTTGTGTACCGTACTGATTTAATTTCAGACCCCTGTGATGTGCCATCCCTGTGTACACACCCCTATCATCAGTGTCAATTGGTGGGTACCAAAGCAGTGTGTATGTGTCCAATGATTATTCCAGCAAACCTGGCGCCAGTGTGTGGCTCTGATGGACTGACATACCCTAATGCAAAAGCACTCGAAAGCATGAGCTGTCTGGCAAACAGAATCGTTGACGTACAGTATGAGGGGGAGTGCATTGGTGAGTCCTAACCTTCTTTGAGCGGATACCTCTCCTAAGCCAACTGGTTTTCTGGTCGCAAGATTAGAGATTCTAAGACGATTCTAAGACGACGACTGCGAGAACGAGATTGTCTCATATACTAAGTAGAGTGCGCATAAACCAGCGTCATTTTGGCGGGAAAGCATAGTAGCCGTCGTCATTCCACCACAGGTTTTAGTGTCGCAATGAAGAAAACCGGTTATTTAGCAATTAATGAATTCGGCTTTCGTAGAATATGACGAATTAAGCAGATCGGCCAAGGTTGATAACACCCTCCGAGATCTGCTTAATTCTTCATATCCTACGAAAGCCGAATTCATTAATTGTTTTTTTTATTCATTCGAAATACTTCCTAGTGTAAAACCATAGCTAAAACATGCTTACCTGCGTCGATGTTAAGTTCATCTTCGATAGTGTACGTTTAGGTTTTTCCTGCTCCGCAAATATTCTCCAAATAGCAGATGTCGCCCTCCGAGTTGTCGTCTTGCTGTTTTTGCCATGTTTTTACTATTATTTCGCCTAGTTCCAGCTGTAGTTCTTACTTCATGAAACGAGTGAAATGTCCGCCATTTTTTTTTCACAACCAAAACAACTCAACCTCGTTTCCAGGTCTTCTCGGTAACGGTGACTTAACCTGTAGCGGGCTCATTTTTAACGTCATTTCCTCTTTGAACACAGAATTCATCCAAATTTGGTTATCAGTGACTGGTTATGGTGAATTATGCGTGTGCTTTTAGCCAATCAGAATTGGGGAAATATTTTGAATGAATAATAACAGATGTTAACGTTTTAAGACAGAATCCGTCAGGAAATTGAGTAATTCTAATTTCCAGTGGACAAAAACCTTGTACCAGAATAATTTAAAGCACATCGCATTCTTTTGTACATTTTTCAAGGGCTAAAGATGTAATTAGTCATCTGTAGAAACACCAAAGAAAATTTCTTATGGGAGCCCTAGAAAATAGATGTCAAACATCACAAAATGACATCTTACAATTGACATTTTCAGAGTTTTACCTCTGTTTTTACAATTCTGGTGAAATTTGACATTTATTTTCTCGGGCTCTCATAAGAAATTTTCTTTGGTGTTACTAGAGATGACTAATTACATTTTTAGCCCTTGAAAAATTAAAAAGGAATGCTCTACTTCTTAAATTATTCTGGTACAAGGTTTTTGTACTCAATTTCTTGGTGGATTCCGTCTTAACATTTTGTGTTCGGGAGAGTGCTTAACCACCTTCAATAACAATTACCTTGTTAACTTTTCTGAGAATTCGCGAAAAAAAAAACTCGCGTCCTCTGTTTATCTTCGTCTTCAAATCTAAAAGTCTTTATTATTTGCTTTCGGGAGGTGGACATTTCATTGAAGTTTCATCTTTTTCAACTAGAGTGCTATGACGTAGAAAAGTTTGGTATTTGGGATAAGTGCTTGCTTACCGACAACAGGTGGCTACTCTTGGATGTTCGACTATATAGATTTAGTTCTTGTTTTCACAAGGTGAAGATGGGATTTTTTATACTAACTGAGAGCAAGCTCATTGGCCGCGTTTTGTATCCTGGTTTTTGTTAGTTTTGCTGTAGAATTAATGTTATGTCTTATGTGTTAAGTTTGCACTGAACAATTGGCAACGGAATATATTGTAGATTTCGGACTTAACTTTGCTATATTTTGGTATTGATGAGGCTAATTAAAATTACTTTTCCATTTACAATAGTTCCAACAGACCCTTGTGACATTTCGCTATGTAGTCATTCTCGGCATCAGTGCCAGGTGGTGGATGGCATGGCAACCTGTGTCTGCAATGAAATCTGCCCGCTTATCTTGATGCCTGTCTGTGGATCTGATGGCCAGACATACCCGAATAACTGCTCCCTTGAGGTTGAAGCATGCGTGACTGGCAAAGAACTTACCGTGGTTGCAATGGGAGAATGCGGTAAAAATAAGTTATCATATTTACATTATTCTCAATCCCAACACTCCTAAATGTTGCCTAAGTCAAAATTAGACATATTTTCAAATTTCATCTTGTAAATTGCTGAAAAACAAGTAGCAGCATTTGAAAGCACGGAAAGAGACGTTTTTTTTCAAGGGTCACACCACGGGATTTCAAGTTAGATGCACCTTACAAGACTCTATCATTCACTCTGGGAGTGCAAAGCGAAACCATAATTAATGGCGAAACATACGATCAACTTGCAGCACGAGTCGTATCATGTAAATCAGACGTACAACAATTATCTGTTATTGTACGGTTTGATTAAGTCGACACTGTTCTCGTTGTGAGCTAATTGAAGAATATCGCATGCGTCTAAGGTATAGCGTGTAAATAGGCCTTTAGAGTTTCGTGGCTGGTAATATTTGTATTTGTTAGTTCGAGTTTCTTAAGTTTAGCGTACATTTTATTTGACTTTCTGGATACTAAATCAGTGGTTGGCACCCATGGTCATGACCTCTGCGTTGGCAGAAAATGAGTACTCGTCAGGAGGAGGGCAAACGGCGGTTAAGGTTTTGGGGGGCGGGGCAGGGTCTGTTAGTTATGGTATTCCATTTGGTTCTTGGGCAAGATGTCAACTGGTAAATTGCCCTGTCTCCTCTTCCAGTTGCAATATTCATTTATTTTATTATACTTTACTTTGTTTTTCTTTATCTAACGTACTTTATATTTTTATGTTCATATTTAACAATTATTCGCCGAAGGCGAAGTTAATATTGTTGAATAATCCCCGAGACGAAGTCGAGGGGATTATTCAACCATATTAACTGAGCCTGACGTGAATAATTGTTTTAGTATATTCACACGACGTGATCTCAACAGAATCAGAAAGGAAACCATTAAAAACACGATTAGTTTGATTGACGAGTGAATTCTTGCGCGAACATGTAGCCGTAAACAGCAGATGCATAACAACAGTATTTTCAAACATGGCAAATCATAGTTTTAATTGTTTTGTAAACTTTAGCATCAGTGATTGAAAAGAAAGCGTTGAAAGTTTAAATAACTCCCCTTTCTGAGAAGAAACACAGAGCTTTATTTGCTTCTGTCAACTCACCGTGAATGAGACAGTTTTTTTGTCGCTTCTTGCAAATGCTGTTAACAGCGGCTACGATCGAGGTGAGCGTGTTCCTTGCCATGTTAACTTGCTGGCACGTACAATTTTTTGAAAATATTTGCTTTCCTTCTTTTCTCCGTAAATTAACTTCCATTTCCAGGCAAAATTGGTCTTGCGAGGAAATCCCGAGTTCACAAAACAGTGACAAAGCGGCCTCCTTTTCCGCTGTGGTGGTCAATAAAAACATTGCTTCAAGCGTATGAAAGTTAACTACAGTAGATCACTTCGCAAAAATCACGCTGTTTACACACCATGAAGTCTTCTCTTACCTTCAAAATCATCAACTCTGGGATATTCTTGTATTTAAAAAAAGTTCTTACTCTGCCTGGCAAAACACCCAGTTCACTACAGCGATTTTGTTTTGCTTTATATTCACCGCCCAGCGCGGTGAATATAACGTCATAGTCCGAGATAGCGAACCAATCAGATTGCTTGAATCACCAAGATCATTGAGTGTGTGTATACTAATAACTAATAACATGCAACGAATTCAATAAAGTGAAGTAAAGGATTTCGTTTTAACGGTTAGCGCCAATCGCTGATGTTGTGACCCACCCATTCTGTTACGCTGCCAAACTTTTGAGTGAGCTGGATTTTTTTCCTTTAATAGATCAGTGTGCAAACATGGTGTGCCCCGATCCGAGAAAGTATTGTAGAGTGATGAACGATTCGGCAAGCTGTGTATGCAATGAGATCTGCACGTCTGACTGGCGTCCTGTTTGTGGATCGGATGGTAAAACGTATCCAAATGAGTGCAGTCTGGAAGTGGAAGCTTGTACAACCGGCAAGAAACTGAGGAAAGTCCATCCTGGAGAATGTGGTAGGGGTAATATATCAGTTAAAATAGTACTGGTGTAAACTTTCTTTTTCGCAGATTGTTTTACTTGTAGACTCAATTTATCTGCTAAGGTCTCCTTTCTCCACATGATCTTAAGCCATGCAAAATTTCCCTCGTACAGTCAACTGCATAAACAACAAATAAATGAAATTTTGAAAAGGAAAGTGGGGGGGGGGGACTTTACAAGATAACTATGCAGGAATTCAGTCTCAGGGGTCGATTGTTAGCAGATATTCCTTTAGTTCTTGTCCTGACTCCACGTTGAAAAGATGCATTGTGATGATTAGAGGTATTTTGTTCCAAAAGACAGCAGCAGCGTATCTAACAGTGACTTTGCCGTAATGAGGTCTAGGTCGCTGGATAAACATTTGCAGTTGTCCCAACTGTAATTTGCTGATTTCAGTGATATTTTATATGCCTAATCTACTAAACAGTGGTCTATCCTAAGGTGTGATCATTCAGATAAAACTTCTTCAACAGTACTTTCGCATGATTTCATTTATTTTCTAAGTAGTTCTAACTTTTCGAGTCTGTGGAGGGATTCCTTACCATTCAAATGAAACTCTTTGGTAGTACTGTTACATCGTACTATTTTTTCTGCATTTAATAAACGGAACATTCAACATTTTTAGGGGAATTTTAACTTCAGGCACTTCTCGAAGTGAAAAGGCTTAATCAGTTCTTTGTCTTTGCATTTCAGCGGAAAAGTTAACCTGCCCTCGTATTGATCCTACGCCTGTTTGTGCACGGCCTTCGAAACCCAACTGTTTTACAGGTGGACCCAAGTGTGGTGGTGGAAAGGCTTGTTGTCTTGATCATGACTGTACTCATAAGTGTGTCGACCCTGCTTTACCCGATGGTAAGTTGGTATTAAAACAAATATTTCGGTTCCTTGAAAATCGCGGACGTTTAACTTTGAAATTGAAATTTTTTTTGAAAGTCGCGGAAAGGTATAATTTTGAGAGGAGCTTTTAAACGTTTCGTATACTGATTAGTGGGGGTGGGCAATCCTAGAATCGCTGAAGGAGATTCGTTGCATTCAAAGATTTTTATAGATTTGTTTATTGTTTACTTTAGGCAGTAGACCAGGTGAATGTCCAAAGCTAAATCCAATACCAGGATGTGCAGCAGTGAATGGTTGTGTGTCGGACGGTATTTGTAATCTTGGAGAGAGATGCTGCCTTCAAACAAACTGCACCAAGAAATGTGTCAAGGTTGTTGTTCCACCACCACCCCCACCACGTCCCAAACCCAAACCCGGTGAGTATAAACTATGACATGCTTTCTATTTCAGTCCGTTTATTGGGTGGGGATGGGGAGGGACTTAAAAATAAGACAAACATACGTCCAGATAGTAAATTTTCCGAATGAAGTGCATACCGAAACTCCGAGCAAAGAAACTCGTTTAATCTTCGCGTCTACTCGGGCCTTTGTGCTAGGGACGTAATACATAACATCCCCTCCTTCAAACTTCATGGTTTTAATCGCTTCCTGGTCAGTACAACGAAGTTCAGTGGAAGTACCATCAAAGTCCCCGCCCCCACCCCACCTCCACTGGTGGCGGTTGACGTTTCATTTCCACAATAATCAGCATGTCTATTGGCCGGTCGATTGTGGTTACTTTCCATAACTTTGTTTCCCATGACAGGGAAATACGTATGCAGAGGAATATTTTACTACCTATCGTAATATCTCCTATATTGCTGGAACTTAACCTTGCCTAAAATTAAAGTGTTATTTTGTCATATTTTCAGCTGGTAAGTTGACCTGCCCTCTCATTGATCCAATGCCTGGCTGCGCACGGCCTTCCAAACCCAACTGTTTTACAGGTGGACCTAAGTGTAGTGGTGGAAAGGCTTGTTGTCTTGATCATGATTGTACTCATAAGTGTGTCGACCCTGCTTTACCCGATGGTAAGTTGGCAAACAAATATTTTTGTTCCTTGAACATTGTGACCCTTTTGACAACTGGATGTTGCTTTTTGAAAGACGCGGAAAGGTATAATTTTGTGAGGGGCTTTAAAACGTTTGGTGTACTGATTAATTAAGGGTAGGCAATTCCAGAATCGCTTTTGGAGTTTTGTTGCTTTCAAAAGTTTTTACTAATTTGTTTATCGTTTACTTTAGGTAGTAGACCAGGTGAATGTCCAATGCTAAGTCCAATACCAGGATGTGCAGCAGTGAATGGCTGCGTGTCGGACGGTATTTGTAACCTTGGAGAGAGATGTTGCCTTCAATCAGACTGCACCAAGAAATGTGTTAAGGCTGTTGTTCCTCTAACCCGACCCATGCGCCCACATGGTAAGTACATGGAAAAAAATATAACGATGGCGGGACTCTCAATTCAAGTTTTTGTTGTCTCCCCAAAACAAAATCAAAGTGAAAACTTTGGTGAGCTCGTGGATACGTTGTTTGCAAAATAAAATCAGTAAAATATTTTCTAGGTTTCTTTTTTGTTGAAATGGCATACTCAAGAAAAATTCCGACTGCCGTACATGTACCTGTCAAAACACACTCCCAGTAACTCCGATTTCATTTTCTATCAAGAGAAGATACTTAGAAAACGTTTATTTTCCAAATGTAGTGCGAACAGGAATGTGCGTAAATATTTATTTCGGCTCGTCACTTTTTATTGACTGTTTTCTTGTTTATTTTAAAATTCGTCAAGGGGTATTCATCTTAGAGAAAAAGCATTCTATGGGCAAACCAAAGAAGGGCAATTGTAACCCACCGTGTCATCCTTATGGAAACTGCGTAAAGGTCAATGGAAAATACACTTGTTCTTGTGCCAGAGCTTGTCCAAGGATATACAGCCCTGTGTGCGGTACAGATGGAGTCACGTATAGTACCGAGTGTATGCGGATGTATTTGGTTTGTAAAAAGGGCACTGATGTTAGGTTCAAGCATTCAGGAAAGTGCAGGGAAGGTCTGTATTGCTTGTAATTCTTTCTTAGATAGCGACTTGTAGTGCAATAAACATCAATGCATGGTTACCTAAACTGTTGAAAGTGCTGAGGTTTTGTTGGCTTGACCTTACGTCGAGTGAGAACACCAAATAACGAATACCAGGTTCAAGTTCTCGTTATTTCGCACTATTCAAGTTGATATAGTATAAGATGGCTTACAGAATCAGTAGGTTAACAAATGATGAAAAGTAAATATAATATACAGGTTTGTTGATATGTGCATAGTGACCAAAGTAGCCGAAGCTTACGTGTTGGTCACATCCGTTCCATTCATCCGTTAGACAAGGTTGTTTGATTTGGGTACGCGTTTATGGCTCGTCTACTCATTTACTTTTTGCTAAGGAAGCTGTGTATTCCTTATTTCTCAAACGTGACCAGAGAAGTTTCAGGGGAAATTAACTTTTTATTATACACAAGGTATGGATCGAAAAGTATGTCTAGAAAAAAGAGAGATTTAGAACCACGTTTACGGCCACAAAGGTTGATTTGTACTATCATTTTTATTAATTTTTTTCTTTTTATACTCTTTTACTGGTTACTATATGTATATCTACACAAGAATTACTACAGTCTCAACAAAAGTAGTTGGGACACTTCAACCCAACGCTGTTTTTTTACTTTCTGGCCCGTCTCCTCGTCCTCCCAATGTCCCTTTTTGTTAGTTTTAATGTACTCAATTTCTTATTTGAGAAATTGTCAACGTTAACCTCATGTTCCCCGTTTGCCCTATTAACTTGATTATTAATCTCTTTCCTGTCTCTGTACCGTCAAACACACGGCAACTGAGGCAGCGTGGCCGAACGGTTAGTGCGCTACAATTTCAATCCGGAGGTCCCGAATTCAATCCACTCCCTAACCAACCTCGTTCCCAGGGTTCTCTCTTGCCCGTAGGAGAGAAGCCTGGGAACGAGGTTGCGCCCTAACCTGTGGCTGGGTCCCGAGATCAACTCCTCGGTCACCGTTGTAAACAGGCAACTGATCTGCCTGCGGCCAGTTGGAATTCTTAAAGGAGCTGTGTCACGAAATTCAGCCAAATTAGGTTATTGTAAGATGCCCGTTAAATTAAAAGAAACATAAAAATAACCGCTTAAAACATTAAGGTGACTCGACCCAGTTTTTTTTAGGGGGTACCATCCTACTTTGAAGCTCTCTGGTATCCCCACCTTTAAATTTATCGTAAGTCTAACATATAGAATGGATAACATATAGATCAATCTACAATATAACATAAAATTTTTGGCGATCGGAGTAAATGTCACGTGGTTATACTGCCACGCCCCTTTGAGGTCTGAGTCGAAAATCTGCTGTTGCCGGCATTTTTTGGTGAAAATCTCTCGGCTTCACATAGTGCGCATTAGTGCCTTGCGCTGAACAGCGTTTCACCAAAATCGCAAAGACCCAATTCGAGAAATTCAGCGGTTTCCAAATTTAGGTCATAATTTATGCGAAAATGATAAGCAAACTTTACACGGATTATATCTAATAAACTATGAGCTGCATTTTGGGCATCCTTATAACAGATGGGTCCTTGCAAGTCAGCAAAACAATTTAGGGCCTTGTAAATGCGCGCGATTTCGAGCAAAGCAAACATTTAGAAATTATAGTTTTCGCTATTTGTTGACGTTTGTCAGCGTTTAAGAGTCAATCTCACGAAAAAAGCATTTTCTTAAAAATTCGTAGTTTTTTTTTCCTTCAAACTTTTTCAGGGCCACAATTGATTACCTAACAACCCGGACTCTGAATTTCATGGTCATTGAAAAACTGTGACATTATCTTCTATAAGCCCAAACTTGAGTAAACATTGAAGATTTTAGCGTTTTGGCTGAGTTTGTGCTTTGGGAGTTGTCTATTGTTTCTAGTCTGTCATTATACAGCATTCTTGTTCCGCACGGGTGCAATGACCGCGCTTGGCTGACTTATGATTAAAAATTGTGAGTTAAACCTCTACGTATCACGCGATGGCCTGTCTCACTGTACCAAAATTATCATATTTTGGTGAAACTCTGTTCAGCGCAAGGCACTAATGCGAACTATGTGTAGCCTAGAGATTTTCACCAAAAAATGCCGGCAACAGCAGATTTTCGACTCAGACTTCAAAGGGGCGTGGCATTATAACCACGTGACATTTACTCCGATCGCCAAAAATTTTATGTTATATTGTAGATTGATCTATATGTTATCCACTCTACGTGTAAGACTTACAATAAAAGTAAAGGTGGGGATACCAGAGAGCTTCAAAGTAGGATGGTACCCCCTAAAAAAAACTGGGTCGAGTCACCTTAAAGGAAGGTTAAAATTACGCAACAGATACAACAGCTACCACGGATGGGCAATACTGAAGAAGATTGAAACGGATTGAAATCAGGGTTTTTGAAAACTGCCCAGCCTAACAGTTTTTCAAAGTTTATCTCTGCTGTTTGCAGCTTCAAAAATAATGCTCAGGGGACATGTTTATTTGTCTCTTATCTCTTATTTGTCATTTACATGTAATTTGTTTGCCTACTTTAAGGGCGAATAATTGGCAAAATAAAACAAAATGAACTGGACTGCGGTGACACAGCCCCTTTAACCTTGTGAGCCACAATGAAAGCTATTGGTTTACCAGTACATGCAATTGTGTCACTCCAAAAAGGTTAGTTTTCAGCTTCTTAGCAGAATGTGCTAATCTTCATCTCCAGAGAAACATGAAGACCAGTGCCCTGTTCTGAACCCCACCCCCATGTGTGCTTCGGTCACTGGCTGCTCAAATCACTCAGAATGTCAAGAGGGTGAAAAATGCTGCTTGGGACGAGACTGTGTTCGAACTTGTGTGGCTAAGGCCAAACCAGGAAAGTGCCCCGTCATCAAGCGGTTACCTTGTCCTTTGATTCTCAAGCCTGATGAGTGCACCACCGACTGGGACTGCGCTGGTGATCTTAAGTGTTGTTCCGATGGATGTACTAAAGAATGCTCTTCTGGGTTTCTGACGGAAAAGAGAGGTGGGTTGATGTGTGTTAAATAGCAACTCTCAGGATCTGATTAATAATTAGCCTTTCTTTCTGCTATAGATTTTAGTGAACAATAACTGAGAGAATTCGGGATAATATCAATAAGTTATCATATGGCTGCTCATTTTGCCTACTCTCATCGCCTTTCTACTCGGCAATCTATTTGATATTATAAGGAGAAGTTAAATGTCAATCATTTCTATGAGTTAAAGGGTTAATGGTTATGTGTCACTCAGTTTGGGCAGTTAGCCGCTAGAAACTGGCCTCTTAGCTGAGTGAAACAAAACTTCGCAAAGTGGACAGAACTGTTGTGGCACGGGGCGTTACCTTTCAAGCCGTAGTCAGACAAAAACGCAGTTTATTCAAGTGTCAATGTATTTACACGAAAGTGCTAACTGAGGGCACTGTTTTTAACGTCTCCTACGTTGAGATGGGACCGTCATTTCTACGTGCTCAGCGCTATCCACGCCACAGAATGTCTAGCCGCTTGTCAGGTAAAGGTCTGATCAGAGCGGACATAGCCTGCGTAGCAGGCGCTTGGAAATAGTGGGCGAAAGAGAGAACGGGCGCGCGCGAGGGAGACACGCGAGGCGTGTCTCCTTCTCGCGCGCCCGTTTTTTCCTGTGCCCACTACTTCCAAGCGCCTTCCACGCAGGCTAGAGCGGACATGAACCTAGGGAATCCATCTGGCAAGGCCGATGCCCTTGCCATTCGGCATTGGTGACTCATAGTCGTTTCCATAAAGCGAAACCCAAACTTAAGCAGCCACTTTATTTTTGTCTTCCTTAGCTTCAGAGAATCCTTGCAAGTTTTCAATGTGCAGATATCCTCGTCCAGTCTGCAAGGCCATCGGAAAGAAAGCTACGTGCCAGTGCCGAAAGAAATGCCCGAGACATTACGATCCAGTGTGTGCTTCAAATGGGGAAACATACAACAACATGTGTTTGCTGGAATTGACTGCTTGTTTATTGGAGGACACAGGCATGCCAGCTGAAAAACTAACGTACCTTGCTAATGGAAACTGTACAGGTAGGAATTGTGGCGGATCTCGCACATACTTCAAAAACTGTTTCTCTCAAAGGATTGTATATCTCCGTTTTAAAACTGTCCAGTCCAATCTTGGGGACACTTTAACACACGCGGCGATGAAACCAGTCTAATAAAACGATCGAAGTGAACGATTCAAAGCAAGTCCCTGATATAACTGTTTAATCAACAAACATTAGCTTACATTGTGATTGTACTCAAGGCTATCAGTTATCTCCCGGTTCTTTTCCTTAAGTCACGTGTACAGTAAATTCCTGAGTTCAGAATGTTGTATCTAAATTTAGGTACAATTGCATACTATCTCGGCTTCTCCTTAATTCACTTTGTAAGTGTACTCGTTAATAGCTTTTCCTTCCCAACACTGCAGAAGGCCAAAGTATTTCATACATTTCTTGTAAGATTGAATTAATTCATAATGGTTTTCCTTTTATTTTGTTCCCTTAACAGTGGCGCAGATCTGCAGTCTTCCACCTGAAACAGGTCGCTGTCGAGCTTCAATGAAACGATTCTTCTTTAATGCAACCTCACGTAAATGTGAAGAGTTTAGATTCGGTGGCTGTGAAGGAAATGCCAACAGATTTGACAGCGAGGAGGAATGCCAAGACTACTGTGGATGTAAGTTAGCTGGGAAAAATATTTGGACTTAAGGTGAACGTTAATTTGCATTTCAATCGGCATACTTATAGTCCCAGTGCATCAACAGTTCGATTTGTATCGTTGTCGTTCCACAGAGTTCAAACGATGCAATGTTGCTTTGAAGGACGAAATTTATTCCATACTATCATGAGTGAGAAAATACTCCTTAATTTTGGCGCAAATTTTCAGCGTTAATTCATAACTTCACATGTAAAAAGTACAAAATTACTTTTGCAAAGTTCCCTATGTCTTCGTGCCAAGATGGCGTCAATGTTTAAAATTGAAATGAATGAAAATGCCAGCGCATTAAAAGACGCTCCACAAAACCTAAACACACGGAAAAGCAAGAAGGATCAATTCACAGATATTTTGTCGGAAAATTATGAACTTAAGTCAAAACGTACGCTCTAAACTTTTCAGTTTGTCAGTAAGTAGAGTTCTGAATTCGATAAACAAATCAAAAACCCACGATTGTGAGAGTAATTTGTCACCCATGCTATAAAAGTAAAGGCTAGGGAAATTGTTAGGATTTAGACAAAACGCGCGCGAAACTTATTCCTTTATTTCACTCGTCACTCTGATTACGCATGCTTATCTTATTTTCAGCCTTGAATGTGTGTGATTTGAAGCCTTGCCCTGATCCGTATGCCCGCTGCAGTATTTCTGTCTCTGGAGAGCGTCAGTGTTCGTGTCCACAGATCTGCACAGCAGATTACAATCCAGTGTGTGGAACTGATGGTCAGACGTACAGCAATGAATGTCAAATGCGAGTCGCAGCCTGCAGCCATGGAATGATGATAAAAATCAAATCCAGGGGAAAATGTAAAAGTAAGAGTTGGATTTTTGCACTCTAGCTGAGAGAAAATTAACAAACTGATGCCAGTTGTTTATGTGTTTGTCCTCTTACTGATGATCATTCGAGTCATAACATTGTGAAATTGTTGTGAATCTTTGAGACGCAAACCGTGTTTCTCAGCCAGGAATCGCTTCATCTACAAAACTAAAAATAGTCGTTTGAGCCTAGCAAATCATCAGGGTTGTCATTAACATTTTAAGTTTCTGGGTATATGCAATTTATAGGCGGGAAATTGAACAGCTAGTTTCATTTTTTTTTTTTCCTTTTTGTTTCCTCTCCAAGTAGCCGGGAGTCGTGCTCATAGTTGCTAGGGGCCCTTAGTGACACCCCTGAATCATACTATTGTTAACGAAGTGCGAGGTCTGTTTTTTACTTTGAAGATGCCACTTAGTCTTGTCGTAAGCTTGGCAAACTATGAGCGAGTAATTTTCACTCTCCCGAGCGGCACCTCCAACATTAAAACGTAGTATTCGAGTGAATCAGTGGAAAGAAATCAAAACCGAATTACTTTTTGCAATTTTTCGGAGGCATAAACACGTGGCGTGAAGTTTCAAGTTGCAATCTTCTTAGCCTGAGAAAACACCTGAGATTTCGCGACGCCACGAGTGGTTTCCCCACAAAATAACGACTGAGAAACGAGTACAAAAATTTCATACTGATGACGCGTCACTATTCAGATATGGGAAGTGCTTCTGATTGGTTCAAAATTTGCTTCAAACAATCAGATGTACTACCCAGATCTGGGTAGGGACGCGTCATCAGTTTGGAATTTCTACGCTCTTTTCTCAGACGTCATTTCGCGACGGTGGCGTCGCGAAATCTCGGGTGTTTTCTCACGCTACAATCCTTTCCCTTGTCTTTCTCCTAGATAGTTTAATAGTACTTATATACAGTTCCGTGTAAACAAAACAGGAGTGTTGTAGTTTTGTTTACATACCTGCAAATAATTAATATACCGTAAAATTCCGAAAATAAGCCCCTCCATGTATAAGCCCCTCCAAATATAAGCCCCCCAAACCGGTAACGCGAAAAACCCTCCGTTAAATCGCCCCTCCAAATATAAGCCCCCCGGGGGTTGTACTTGGAAAATTGCCCTCAAATACAAAGTAAAAGGGTTAATTTACTTCCAACTATAAGGCTAGCCCAATCGATTTTGAAACGCAAATTTCCCTCCGTAGATAAGCCCCTCCAAAAATAAGCCCCTCAAAAAGGGCCTTTGAAAAATATAAGCCCCGGGGCTGATTTTCGGAATTTTACGGTATCTTTAGTTTTTCCATACTCGTAAGAGTGCCCTTATAAGCTGTCTGCTCCTACAATTAATTACAAGAAGACATGGGAATTGTGTTGAAACAATTGTATTATCTATTGACGTGCTGCCAGCCATATGGTTTGCTAGGAAATCTACACAGTTGGCTACTTCTCACACTTCTTCTTCTTCTCCTTTTTCATCACAGACAACCCAGGCTTCTGTCCTTCTGTGGACCCACGGGTGTGCTGGGATGGTCATGAAGATGAATGTTTTGATGACGCAAGCTGTGACGCAGATGAAAAGTGTTGTCATGATGGCTGCAAGAAGAACTGTATCAAACCTTTATCAGTACCAAGGCGTGGCCCTCCCCGACCAGCTCTACCACGTAAGTAGTGTAGTGTGTGCAGTAAACACCCGCCTGTAACAACAACAAAATTGGTTCTTGTATTTTGGGATACGTATTGGCAATTAAGGCCAAGTAGGTTCTTCATTTCTATGAAGGAGATGTAGTTGTTGGCTACCAGAAAAATAACGAAACTTGAGTTTGGTTCAGAAATATACAGTAATTATTCCCAACTGTTCATTACAAACCTCCTTTATGCAAGGCCCGTGAAGACAATTACAGTCTGTGCTTCTTATAAACTTGTTTTCGCTGTAGGAATAAGAGGAATACTTGTGTTAGTTATTACAGTTTGGTAGAGTATTTTCTTGTAATATAAATTTGCAATCTCAAATTCAACTCGTTTGTTAAGATGTTTTGCATAATTTAACTGAAACCCATAAATAAGAACCTGCTTGATCTTGCTTGGTTAAACAGGTTCTTGTATTTTTGGGTATTAAAGTGGCAAATTTCTGCCAGGAGTCCACTAGGTTCTTATACGCGGGGTGTACTGTATCAGTAGGAACCTGTTTAACCCGTTAAGCCCCAATATCCACATACAGATTCTCCTCACTGATTTCCATACATTTCCTTGAATTATTAGTTGGGAGAATTGATAATCAAACATTTTTTCCTTTGGTGATCATTTGATTGATTCGCATCACCTTTTTCTCTTAATGATATATGGATATTGTTGAAATAAAATTGGTGATGGTTACTCTTGGGACTTCAGTTAAAATTGCTTTTTCCTCGTAAGTTGACATTTCAATATGGTTAACTCTGCGAACTAACGATAATTTGCAGTAAGAATAATATTGTAGTATAATAAAGTTTTGTGTCACCCGAAGCAAAAGATAAGGACTTAGATGGGGAGGATAGTTGTTATAAGCCTCTAAGAGCTCCATGCTAAGCCAAAGCGCAAGACGCTAAGTAAGGGGATGGCGACTTTTGAAAGTGACGACTAAGTGCGAATTAAGTTGAATTCAACATACACAGCAACGTATAGCTAGTCACCTTAGAGTGTTGCAGCGTGGATGAAAATACTTGTCACGTGACGTTTTGAAGCGCAAACCCCAGCCCGAGGCTAGGACTAACCCTAACTGTTGAACTAACTCTCTTGAAGGTCAAAGCACCAATACTTATTTTGCAATCCCAAGAAAGCCCCTTGGTTAGGGTCAAACTGGCCCTTACATTTCCTGGGGGTGTCAAATATTTAGGTCACGTGATGAAAATCGTTAACTTAAAAAGAGATAACGAGCTGTACCTTGTGCGACAGATTATAATCACGTTATAACGTGCTTGTTTATTGAAGGAATGGTTCCGCACCGTTTACACAAAGTTTCTCCCGCTAAAGACCCATGTAAAAAGTGCAAGTTCCCAAAGACCTTTTGTTCAAGGGATAAGAATGACACAGCGGAATGCTTGTGTCTACAATTTTGCACTCGGGAATTTGCACCAGTCTGTGGCACGGATGGACGTAACTATAGCAACAAATGCCAATTGGAAGTGGAAGCATGCAAACCAGAGAACATTCGCACCTTAAAGGTTAAACACCCTGGACCGTGTGGTAAGTAATGGGAGTAAGCTACGGAATATCTAACAAAACGATTCCATGTTACCGCGCGCTTGTTCAGTGATAGATCATAGGTGACGACAATTGGGGTGAGAACAAACAATGTGACAAGCTAGCCGTAGGCGGTAGTCGAAAGTTGATTTAAAATTTAGGCAACCTTGCTTCATGGGTTCTTCTTTCGTTTCTTGTAAACAGCTCCTGTTAACCTTCACTACCTCAATACCAAATTATCTCGCAAAGGTTTGAAAACTGCGCGTCGTGTTGAACAAAATGAAGCTAACGTCAAGTTCCGTAGCGAGTAAGGTAGACGAACTGAACGTATTCCAGGAATGTTTGTTGTGTTACGAGCAGTCAAAACAAAGATCAAGACACGCGAGCAGGTCACAAGAACAGGGTTTTCATTTGAGGCCGGAGGCCGGACGTTTCGTCCGGTCGTTTGCCATTCCACGTCCGGTACTTTGAGATCAATATTGGCGATTTTTTTTTACTACTGTATTATATATTTTTCTTACTAAGGCATCTCATGAACATACTGACTAGAGGATAACAGAATAATCAATTACATTCTTCAAAACGGCCATATAACTCTTTTTTCTTTGCTTATTGAGCGGCGGGATATTTTATTGGTTTCCCCTCTTCATTTAAACGGAATTGAAGTGACTATTTCGTTCTCATTCCTGCTCGGCCAAGTCTTGAGGGAAATCCCCAGGTAAAACAAAATTCTGTTGTTGCCATTCTCCCTCCCCCTCCCCCTACCAACTGACCATTTTCATTCAGTAATTTACTTTTTAAAGAGAATTTTAGTGAGCGCCAGCATTGCCTAGGAAACTGTTTCCTTGGTTCCAGAAACGCTGGAAATGGCGTTTCTGAGTATTCTATTTTAAAAATTTCCTGGGGGAGCATGCCCCCAGACCCCCCTAGGTGCTTGCGTCTTCGGCGCTCGCGACGCGCCTTACGGCGCCAAGAAAAAATTCACGTCCGGTGCTTTCAGAAGTATGTCCGCTACTTTACAAAACAGTTGAAAACCCTGCGAGAGCACCAACTTATTAACGTGGTTCCTTGCTGTTTAGTTTACTCACGCCTGATTAGCTTTGTTCTTGCAATATAACGTACATTTCAGAAAATTGTTTATGGTGTCCACGATTTTGTCGGTTTGACTGTAACACTGTTTAGGGAGGAGTGGAGGACTGTATCCCCATACCAACACCCACCATAAAAACTGTTGAACTGTCTTTAGTAACTGCTAATACTAAATGAAAAGGACAACCCTTCTGTGACTTATCCCCTCAGTTATGTTAAAGAAACGTTTATGAATATATTTTTCTTTACTCATCAGTGTGTGATCTGCCTCCTGTTGGAGGACCGTGCTTTGGTTACATGCCACGATACTTCTTCAATGTCACCAAAAAACGATGCGAGAGATTCATTTACGGGGGTTGCCGAGGAAACGGCAACAACTTTGAAACCGTTCAAAGCTGTGAGGACAAGTGTATAAGTGAGTAAAGGAATTATTACAATCTATGAAGTAATTTGTCTTTTGCTGTTGTCGCAGAACTGACTTCATGTAATCGCGAAGGTTTAAACGGGAAGTTCGACCGTGTTGTGAAAAAACCTTTCAATTCCACTCTTGCCTGTTAATAGTAGTCTATTTGTAGAAGCGCCTCCTAAGAAGAAGCAGTCTTATGGTCTAATTATCTCTTTCGACAGGTCCGTGCAAGAATTACAGGTGCCCCTATCCTCGCACGCGCTGTGAATTAGAAGAAGGTTTGCCTGTTTGTAAGTGTCCCGTCATCTGCACAGCGGACTACCGTCCAGTGTGTGGAACAGACGGCAAGACGTACGCAAACATGTGTGGTCTAGAAGCTGCTGCCTGTCATACTAAACATTTTAAACTGGGACTGAAACACCTCGGAGAATGTAAGTTACTTATACAAGAAACAACAACGTAACGTTCAGTCGAGGGGGGTAAGGCGTTTCCAGCGTGATAACGAGTTTTATCATCAACAATGACCACGTGAACATGTGGGAGACCTTCTCGTGCACTTTCTCGTACTCTTCTTTTTACTTGACAGTACATTGTTAAGGTGGCTCCCAAGAATGAGTTGGCCGTGCACAGCCTGAGTAATAGAATAGTGCGAACTTTAAAATCCGCGCGACGTCCACGCAAAAATAAAACAAACATGGTCTCTCAATTTCGGAATATTTCCCCTAAAAACCTTTATTGACTTTCTGTTGAAGCTCATTGTGCAAAAAGGTTCGTTAGTGTAGGTCAAACATTTATGAGAGGAGACAATGTTATACCGGTTACAAGTCACTATCGATCTCCATCTGAGAGTAAATTGTCTGTATAAACGAAGCAGAAACTTTCCAAAGACAAATCGCAAAGACAAAGTAACTAGATTTCCTTCTGTAACGTATGCTAGATAGCTAGGGTTATTAGTAAATACTCTAGGGAGCCACCTTAAGGTGATGTTACACGGGACGAGTCGCAACGACGATTTTTAGCGCAACACAGCGTTGCAATGTTGGAACAGTGTTGTCACTATTCGAAACAATGTCGCAACAATGTTGCAACGCTGTGTTGCGCTAAAAATCGTCGTTGCGAATCGTCTCGTGTAACATCACCTTTGAACACACGTATCGAGAACGCGAACAAGACGGAAAAAAAACTATTAAAGGGAATAGTCCTTTTTCAGTCATATGTTAAATTACTGCTGAATGAAAAAGCCAATGACACAAATACCGGCAGGAAGGTGCCTAAAATGTGAAATGAATAATAGACAGTGTTGTAAAAAACAGGTCGGCTTCTCCCCGGAATTTGTGAGTACCGTATATTCATTTCAGACGGAGGCCAGCCCTGTCCAGTAAAACTGCGACTTGAGTGATTACATTCAGCAGTCAAAGCGAACTCGAAACTGGACTATGAAATTTTAAAACAGAAGTAGACGATAAATTCAGAACTTAATGCGTGTTACAACCAGCTAAGCCCATTATAGATATGAGAATTTACACATGCTTAGTAGCTTCTTACTTCTGCTCGTACTACTGGCCATTGGTAAACGGTAAACTTTCTGTTAACACATAACCTCGCCAATTGAAAATTTTGAAAAAATCGAATTAAAAAAAAAGCTAGTGGATGCTCATGATAGCAGGGTGAATCTACCAAAAACAAACATGCGTGTAGAAATTGTCAATGTCGCTCGTTTTTCAAATTTACCTGTTCAGAAAACTAAAAAGACAAAGGGTCGGAATTTCTAATTCAAACGTGCCATTTATTTATTTATTTATGTCTGTCTTTGTTGATTATTTTGTTTACTTTTTGTTCATTGTTAGGCTTGAGTGTCAACCCGTGTGAAGGATTTGTATGCAGCCACCAGGGCGAAAGTTGTGTTGTAAAGCACGGCAAGGCTGCGTGTGTTTGTAATAAAGTATGTACAAGAGAATTAGAGCCATACTGTGCATCGGACGGCAATACATACTCTAACAATTGCACTCTGCAATTGGCCGCGTGTGAAAGTGGAGTATCCTTAACAATTGTACATCCGGGAGAGTGTGGAGGTTAGTATGACGAAAGAGATTTACTTGTATTCATTGCTCGATATTTCAGAAAACCTTTTTCGCCATTGTTTTCTGTCTTCCCAGTGTAGATCATTTTGTTTATTCACGGACATATTCTCTTTTAAGGTGCGAAATACATTATCCTTACGTGATCTACAAATAGAGTAACAACAAATGAACGAGGTCTTAAACAAAAGAACATGGTCTTAAGTACATGAAAAAGAATTAAAACTCGGCAAGTGTTTGCGTTTCTAGGTTGTCAGAAGGAAAGGAATAAGAACAACAAAGATGTTTTAAAATTTTGCTTGTCTTTATCGAGTGTTTTGTCGGGTTCCGTAATATTTCTTTGTCCTTCTCTTCCGAGACTGCTTAAGTGCATGTTGTTTTAAATCATTTTGATAAAAATCTTGCTGTTTTATTGTTTGTTTGTTTTTTCAGTGATTCACAACTTTTTTACTATCTTGCCTGTCTGCCATTCAACAACCAAACAAGAGTTATCACTGTACACACCATACAACCAGGAAGAAAACATTTTTCTAATAATCGTGACAAATTTTAAATGCGCTTATTAAAAACAAGTCACAGAGGCTAAAACCCGGGCCCAATAAATGACTGAATATCATGAGTCGCTCTTTAACGTCTGATATATGCGTTACTCTGTTATTGTGCATCATGCAGCAAAAATGTTTTCGTCCAGAAGTTGCCCCGTAACTTGACTTTGTTTCGAATGGTTGGTTGTCCTATGGTGTAAATATCACCTCATGTTTACCTTTATTTTCTTGTAAACAGAGCATTCCGACGATCCCTGTCTGTCAGTCAAGTGTCCATTCCATGGTGTCTGCCAGATATCACAAGCTGGTGATCCTGTCTGTCAATGCGTCACAGAATGCCCAGACATTTATGACCCTGTTTGCGGCTCAGACGGAAAGAACTACTCGAGTGAATGCGTTCTTAAGTCACAGGCTTGCCAAGCCAAGACTGCGGTCCAGGTGGTTGGTAGCCCTAAAAAGTGTGGTAGGTTGGAAAGTCATTCTTGTTTTTCCAGGCGCCAGTTGTTCAAAAGGTGGATAACGCTATCCTTCGGATAAATCTTCTATCCAGTGGATAGTACAATTGGTTTCCCTAATACTTATCCGCTGGATAGTGATTTGTTCGGTGGATAGCGTTATTTAACTTGGCCAGAAGAGGTGAAGATCTCAGCGGTTTTAACTAGTTTCGATGGGGCGGCATTTGTTTATTTCCAGGCACAAAGCTGTTGCGCACCGTTGGAAAACGTTGTGTAGTCTTGTAACCTTTGATGGTCTATAGGACATTTCACGTTTTAATTACTTTTGTTGCACTTTATTTGCTTGTTAATATCACACGATTATATTGGTGGGAGAATATTTTTGACCGTTGGCTTCGCAAACCTTACTTACAGTTCTTCACTTTCAACAGTTTCAAGTAGGCTGAAGTGCAACTCCTGCCCCGCACGCTCTCACGTCCTTAAACATTTCTGCGAGAGCGATTTTGGTAAGTTAACGTTATTACCGTCCATGTTATATAGAAAAGACTGTACTGGTCTATATAGTCAGTCTTTTTTCCTAAATCATTCAGCCACTGAATTCGCCAATATTTTAGCACCACTTACGTAAGCTTCAAGGCATATGTTTGTTACAAAGAACGGTTAGGGAACCTGGATTACCACTCGTGTCTTTATTTGAGAGGGTTTCGCGGTAAAGTAGGTTGATCCGAAAAAGTTCCTCATTCCTCGCATTATTTGTTATCATGACTTAACTGTGTGCTTTTGATGTTTGATGCAGTTATTGAAGGCACGCTTGAAGAGATCCGAAGCACTGAAGATGAAGAAGACTCTTCGGTCTTGATGGTAAAAGTGACCACGATGTTCAAAGGACCGGAATCAATACAAAACAAAATCATCAAGATCAAATTCGCTGACAATTTGAACAGGTAAGTTAGCTGTCTGTTTTAGTATCTTTTAGGGGCAAATAACTAAGCTTGAGTCAAATCCAGATCGGTGAATTACAGTTTTGCGACAAGCATGCCTGGCATACCCCATGGCCGTCCCCATCCGCCACCCCCCCCCCCCACCCCCCCACGCCCCCCCCAACACACCACACCCCCCCCACCCACCCCCACCCCAACCCCCCACCACCCCAAATAAAAAAAAAAAACCTGAAGATGAAATTCCGAGTAAATTTTAGAGGTTGAAATAAGGGTTTTTTTTTTTTTTTGTTTGTGGGAAAGAAGCGAGGTTCCTGCTAATCCCGGCCCGTTAATTAACTTTTTGCGAACAGCCCTCCCGGCAACCCCCCTGGCGGCCCCCCCCCGCCCCCCCCCCCCCCCCCCCCCCCCCCCCCACACACTTATCACCACCACCACCACTACCACCACCACTACCATGTATTTCCACGCTTAGGAAAGATAGTTACGCTCAGTCAGTTAAATTTTAATCTTGATCGGTCGAGAAAGTTAAGGGATTTTTTTTCAGCCAATCACATAACTTACTTAAAGGGGCTCTGTCACGAGTATACATGAAGTAGATATCAAACAAATTTCATCAGGGGGCCCTAAGGGTAATAATTGTTTTGGTAATTTTTACAGGCATAGCATTAAAACTTGAAAGAGTTGGCCCAATCTTTTCAAGTTCCAATCCATGTCCATCCTTGCCATCCGTGGCAACAGACAACAGGAAACAGTGTCAATGCCTAAATTAAGTCTAAAATAACAAAACTGAATCTTTTTTTTTTTTTTGGAATCTAATTGATGCGAAAATTTTTTTTAGGTTTTTAAAAGGGATATAAAAAACCGAGACATGGCCCCTTTAACGCATCCGATTGTAAATAGTTGTACCAGTTTTGTTTGGCCAGTTGGTATTATACTTTGTAAGGTTTTAGCGTTTCATCCGATAACAGGCACATTTGTCTATTCCCGGTAGATGCTCCTGCAAAGAGTTGAGAATGAAAAAGGCAGTAATCATCGCTGGATCCACTACAGACAAAGGCGAACATTTCCTCGATAAATCGTCCAGTTTTGTGCGTCATTCTGGCAGACGCTTGTTTCAGAAAGTCCAGCAACATACAAAACACGACAAATGTAACAAGAACAAGAAACAAGACTAACTTCCTTCACCGCCCAAAATTGTGACAAGAGTAGCGTGACGCGTGACAGCTGTTACAATGGTTGTTGGGTGTCAACATGCCCGATAGATTCCACAGATAGGAAAAAATCAAACAAAAAAACAATGGATTTGAGAAAACCGAGAAATCATTTTTTGTAGCACAGTTAAATAAGTAATGTAAATGAGCTGGGTTTTATTTGAATTGCGTAAAGCAAAATGGCTTAGTTTATTGGCCCAGAGAAACTGACAATTCTTAGCGAAATTATTTTTTTATCAGAATGGTTGTGATCAGTAGACAGAATATTCATTAAAGAGCAAGGATATTTTTTTCAAAAACCAGTTTTATTATATTGTTGTAAAAGACCATTGACAAAGTTATGTCCCTTCTTAGTTAAGCCCTCCGTATTCTCTGCACACACGTTAAGCAAGACAGGTTGGAGGATTTTGTACAAAACGGAGGGTGCGTTTCTTTGAGAAAATTCAGATCCGGATTCTTGAATCCAAGGACGGGTCTTCCATTACTTTGGAAAAAACAGAGAATCCTAAAATGGATTTTGAGTATAAAGCCATACCCCGAGAGGATTCATCAGATTAAGTATGAATCCGAATTTAAAGGACTCCGGATCCGTACGTTCTTCTGGGTACTGATCCAAAAAAAAAAGACTTACATTTGAAGTGGCTGGAAAGTAGCTAGCTAACTTTTTGACATTGTTACATTATTTCAAACAAATAGGTTTTTTTCAAAACGTAGTGCAATGTATAGACCAACGCCTAATAGGCGGAGATTGGTTTTAGAGACAACAATTGACCAGGATAACCTGCTGTTCGCGCCTCCCTTGTGATGGCTGGTGAGTACTGTTTTTACCGTTGCGAAGATTAGTTTCGTGCATATTTGCTTTGATTCCTAAATATTTCATTTTCTTGTTATGTAATCACTGTTTTGTTTTCGTGTTAGTTATAACCTTCAAGTGATGGTTCAGTTTTAAAACCAAGGAAAGCTTTGTGGAACATGTTTAGCATCGCCATCGGACCCAGGCGGTGGATATATTTCAGCTGTTATTTCTGCAATTTGATTGGCTTAGAACAGTGGTATTTCAGCTTAATTTGAAATACCTACATGTGAAAATTACGAACCTTTTGCGGGTAGTAGTGAAACATGTATGATTTGTACGTGATATTTGGCATAAATACCACTCGTGATATTTCAAAATTGTCACAAATGTCACTCGCCTAACGGCTCGTGAAATTACGTATAACAAATTCGAAATATCACTCGTGGTATTTATGCCAAATATCACTACAAATCATGCTATTAACTATACTAATGATCACTCGTACATTCTGCTCAGTGGAGAGGTGGGGCTTGTTTTCGGCGGTGTAGGGAGTACCTATGATCGGATATATTTTTTGGTTTACATGTAGATGGGCCGGATCATTCTAAGATGCTGGGCAAAGTCCCTTATATAAATCTTACAATTAAAATTATATAAAATTGCCCTATATAACTTAATCCTTTAAGTCTTCACTTTAAGACCCTTAAAGTGTTCACTTTAAAACCTCTAAAAGGTTTCCACTGTATCAGGGTAAAAGAGTTCTATCATGTGTGTAATAATTGTTGGTCAAAATCAATATCTTGTGATTGTCTCGTATATGATTCATGTTTTGAATAAGCCACATGTAAGATTACAGGTTTAACACGCTCTGATTGGTTAAAAACAACAGCGAATGATAAACACCAACCCACAGGGCCGAGCGAAGTGACTGAGATCAGAGAAGGTAGTTGCTTTTTCGGCGCGCCATAATCATGGACGCTGTGAAGCTGCTCGTCTTCGTTGCAGTATACTTTCAAGGCTGTTTTTCAACCGAAAGGAAGAAATCCTTTAGTGCCTGTAAGGATGCCAGTAAAGGTTCTCTGTACGATTTCACAGTGAACGACATCCATGGCGTTAAACTAGATGAGAAGTTTTACAAAAATCAAGTCACTTTGGTTATGAACGTGGCGACCTTCTGAGGATTAACCATGCAGTATCTTCAATTGAATGAATTACTTGAAAAATATAACAAGGATAAGAACGATGATGCGAAGTGCAGCTTTAAAGTACTAGCCGTACCGTGCAATCAGTTTGGACTTCAAGAACCAGGAGAGAATGCGTACGAGATTTTGAACGGGTTGAAATATGTTCGTCCTGGTCATGGGTTTACGTTGAATCACGATATAAAGTTGCTAGAGAAAACTGAAGTCAACGGGAAAAATGAAAACAAAATGTTCACATTTCTCAAGGTAATTAATAATAATGAAATTAACAATATGGTTAGTTGAACAGTAGAATAGTGATAATTGCAAAATTTTCCCGGATTAATGTTAAGTTTTTTTTCGATTGGGAAATCGGGTTTTGGATTTTAAAATCTAATTTCGGGCAGTCAAGAAAATCTAAAATTGTAGTTCAATCTACCGAAGAGATTTATAGCAAAAGAAAAATCAAATCCCAAAATTCTTATTTAAATATCAAAGGCGAATTTTCCAATAAAAGCGAGTCAGTTTCTTGCGTTCTATAAGAGGTTCCTTCCTGGATATTTTTTAGAGTCAAGGAAAGACTTCTCTGAAAATCCTATGTATATTTTACGCTATAAAGAATAGTTTATTTTATTCCCTTTCATTACTGGTTGTTTTTTGACAATTCGCACCAGGTGGTATTTGAACAAGACGTTACATGTGAGCCTGAAAAAACTCGTGAAACATTGTGCAGCTTGAAGAAAGACAGTCTTATTTATTAACTCTCGAGAACAATGACAACAATACGTTGTGGGATTTCTTGACTGGAATGTTGCGTCCTGATAATGAACTCCTTAAATTATTTTTGATGATCAGTGAACAAGAAGCAAGAAATTGTTTTCCTAAACAATTGTTCAGTTGGGTGATAGAGACTGACTGAAATAGTTAAAAGAGTTCCTAGGTTTGGATTGACGTTAAAATTTTTATATTTACTCGTGGGAACTCAGCAACTGGTCTTGTCTAGTGTTTCGAAAATTGAATCTTTTGAATTACTCGGTAAAACAGTAGCACACGACGCAGTTCTTGTAATTTAACAACAGTGCAAGAGTCTACCACAATTCCAGATAACGTACAAGCAAAACGGCCATAGAAATTCAAAGGGAAAAAAGACAGGATGTTAAAATAAGGATTAGATTATAATCAAGTATTATGTTGCCATTATTAGCAATGATTCTAGTAACATAGCTCTCGATAGCTCCTGAATGATAAATGTGTGCCTACATGCTTCGCTAGAAGTGTAACTATTCCCTTCTATACCCGGGAGAAATTTCATTCTTCGTAGAGCAAATTGGCACTCATAGTCCCCGTGGTAGGCAAGTTTTTCACGCTGAAGGTTTACGATAATTCAAACAGGTGTCACCTGAAACAAAAGTCATGTAGGACGTAATGTAGGAGGGGTACAGTAGACAATTTTTTAATACAAATGTGGTTCATTCATTCCCCGTGCGCCATCTATCCCACTCTACCCACGTGCTGCTGCATTTGAGACCTACTCTCACTCTCATTGTTCCCAGGCCTTTCCTTTCATTGCTTCTCTCCAACGGAGGCAAAAGGGAGAGAGACCCTGGGAACGTAGTGCTGCAGTTCTTTAAAAAACCTGACAATGAAGTTGTAGTAACCGTACCGTTGCTTGATTTCCTTTTGACAGAACCGATGTCCAGCGCCTGACAACTTTATTGATGATCTCGATAAGATCAAATGGTCGCCAGTCAGAAACGACGATATAACATGGAACTTCGAGAAATTTCTTGTGAACCACAATGGCCAGCCATATCGTCGCTACTCGCCAGTGGTAGAACCCAAAGAAATCACTGAAGACATCGAAAAATTGATAAAACAATGCAAACAAGATTCTTCCTAAGAAAGCTTTTGGGAATGGGATAAAGTCAGCCTCCTCTTGATGTGCCTTGCATGGCTCTTTTCTTGAAATAGAATCTCGCGTGTAGCACGAGCTTATCTCGGGGGTCTAGGGACATGTTCTGCCGAAAAATTGGAAATTTAGAGCCTCTGAAATCACCGGAAACGTGTTTTAATATTTCTTTGAGTCCTGAGAAAATTTTGTCATATTTTCATCACCATTCTCTAAGTTTTCTGCAAAAAATGTAAATTTAACAAAGAAAATTTTGTTTCTTTCTTCATCAGAACAAAACGCCGAGTTTTTCTTTACCCGGAAGTACAATCTCTGCTTCTGAACAGGAGGGGATAAACTTCAAGACTCAACCATTAACTTGAAAATTATTCGTTACAATTAACAACGCTATAGACCTCTTTAGCTTGTATGTTTTGTTTTCCCAATACCGGTCACGTGATAACACTCTAGGGAACCGTTTCTTTCAGATTTCGTCTTAAGGGCCTGTTTACATGGAGTGGGGGACCCCGGTCTAGTGGGGTTGGTTTCTTTTGTTTTCACGCTCTGGGGGACACAAAACAAAAGAAACCTACCCCACTAGACCGGGGTCCCCCACCCCATGTAAAAAGGGTCTTATTCACGTACCTATTTACGCATAGTTTATCAAAAGACAAAGGGTCAAGTTCCCCTGGGGACCTCTATTGGGAAAACAAAACATGCAGACTACAGAGGTTTATTGTCCCCATTTTTAGACGCATGGCTATATTGTACTGGTGCTCAAACTTCCACAGCTTAAAAGAGGACTGGCGGGTCTGGAGCTAGAAGGCAATTTTGTGTTGAATGTCGAGTCACTGTGTTAAGAGGAGGCTGACTAATCTATGACTGCAACAGATTTTTTAAATAATATAAAATAATAATGATAATAACGTGATGTATGTGAAGTACAGTGAGAACTCAAGCGAATGATGAACAGGTCACAAACTGCCATGGACAGCAGATCTGCTTTGATTAGAGCTTTGATATGCTGTGCGGTCTTCAATTCATTCAACCGCAAGCGCATTTGAGACTTACACTTGAGTTTGAGCTAACAAAAATAAACCAAGCGACATACCAGTTTATAAGACATTCCATAAAATTCTTGCTGCGGCGTGACCAGGTGGCCTGGCTGCACTGTCCTGCGCTGCCGTTTTTAGTTTCGCTCGCGCAACGCCCCTCCCTTCTTTTGTACGTTGGATACACGGGGTTCTGCCTGAGATCTCTTTTACAAGTAGACTGCGAGCAGTTTCTTTGCAAAGTTACTGCACGAGAAACCCAAGCACGCGAGCGGCGAAACCGCGATCCCTTATTGTAACATAACGTGGTGGTTTGCAATCGCGCTGGCTGAGATAAAAACTAGACGGATTTTAAGAGAAAAGGCGTACTAGGAGCAGTCTATTTTACTAGGGTCCAAACAAATTTTTAAACGGACAAATTTTTTATCTGTGCAACCCGTCAGGAGCAACCCGTTTACATGGAACCTTACACACTTCTGTTACAGATTGCATTTACTTTTGCTGTTCAAAAACTTGCACGGTTCCGCGGGTTTGGTGTAAACGAAAGGCGGATCAGTCTGTGCAAGTTTTTGTCCGTTCAAAAATTTGTCTGGAACCGCGAAAATGGAGTCTAAGTTCAGAAAAAGAAAAAAAAAAGTTGTCGTCTTGTGTTCAAGCCCTCCATAAAACTTGAAAATATGAAGTTTCAGGTGGAAGTCGTGCAAGGATGGCAAAGAAATGTACAAAAAAGCATCATGCAGGTGCAAAGTTATTGTTTTGGTCATCAACCCCTGTTCTGGCTCTCAGGTACAGTAGAACCCCGGTAACTCAAACTCGGATAACTCGAACTTCCCGCTAACGCGATTTACGTCCAATTTCCCTTGGATTTCACACCACTTTTCAGTCATTTTTACTCCGTTAACTCCGTCGAACTCGGGATAACTCTAATCCCCAGTCGCATTCCCCGCTTACTCGAACTAAATTTCCTTTCACTTGATCAAAATTCTTTGAAAAGTTTTATTTTTATTTTTTTTATTTATTGCCAACCTTCATACATCGTACATAATCTTGTAGTTACAAAATATATATATATAGCTAAGGCAAAAGGAAACTCAGCAAGCTCTAATAAACTTTTTTAAGGTTCCCCAAAGATTTCTTTAGATAGTTGAAAATCAAAAAGGAGGCAAATGTACCCCATCACTCTAGTAACCCCACTCGGCTGCCATCCCATTTGCTCTTCTTGTTGTTTAAGGAGATATAAGGGTAATAACACTAAAACTAACACTGGTCAACACTACAGCAGTTTGATTTTAATTTGTGCAATGAAAATATCACGTTTCAGCGTTTTATGACGCGTAATCATGTTACCCTATCTGATGAAATAAGTTAAACTTGCACTGCACTTCTTTGCACTGAAGCGCAGAAAAATCAGTAACTATTAATTTTTAACCTTTGCAATCGACCCCATAACTCGAGCCTTCACTAACTCGGACTGTTGAAGCCTGGAACAGGCTGGGAGACACTGGGAGTTGCACCGGGGAGAGGGCGCGCCCTTAAGTTTAGTTCCCAGTCTACTCGCTGAATTGTGTCTTTAGTTTCTTCTTTCTTTGAGTCGATGATCACAACTGATCACAAGATGAACACGGCGGTACAACTGTGGGATGGACAACTTTCTTTAATCAGTACTCCAATTCCTCATGTTTCATCCCCAAATGAAGTTCTTGTCAAGGTAGCGTTCTCTGGAATATGTGGAACAGATCTTCACATACTCGCTGGCGAGTTTCCGTCTGCCAAGTGCGTGATCTTGGGACATGAATTCGCGGGAGTTGTGAGCGAGATTGGAACAGACGTAAAAGGCATTTCTGTCGGAGATCGGTGAGAATTATTGAGCGTATAATTTCTTACAAATCTCCGCGTTCAGTCATTTGTTAACTCTACGCGCTTTTCTCGCGTTTTCACAGTTTCGATGTTTATTTACGTCTAAATAATAAACACACCTTGAGAGGGTTTGAGGTCTAATGAAGTGTACGGACATCAAAAACGTAACGAATTCCTTTAGGGAACAAGAAAATAGGATTAACAAGCTAGATAAGTTGTGTGAAATTAATAATTTAGAAGGCAGGGATAGGACTAAGGCTTGTGTAAAATACTTATGACGGCGAATTTTTTTCGTATAATATAATTATTCAAAGAATTGTTATTTGTCTTGATTATTATCCAGGTGCAAGCAAAGAGTCCTTGGTCATGTGTACACCGCAAGCATAAATACAGAATTAATGAAATATGTCTTTCCTGATAGAAAAACCTTTCATTTTAACCGAGAAAATTGTATTTCTTACTTTCAACCCTAATATTTTCGTTTCTTTTGTTTTGAATATTATAGCATGTGCAGAAAAAAATACCACACGTGTTTCATAATAGAGGCCACTCCATTTGATATTTGATATCAACCCCCCCCCCCCCCCCCCCCCCTTATCCCCCCCCCCCCCCCCCTTCCCCTCTATGGATGAGATTTTCTTGAAAGCTCTGATGTAGGTGGCTGTGTTGGCACCTTTGATCACTGGAGTATTCTGACGGGTATGAGAAAATGTTCCTATTTGTGCTGGTAGTGGGGGGTGTTACTATGTCAGTACTTTGATCTTTTTTGTTCTTAGGGGTAAGAGTCAACTTGCCTCATCCATTGGGGATGGAGGGATGTGGCATTTTAAATGAAATGGCCAGAGATAGCCTTTACCTCTAGCAGCTAATATCACCAGGAAAAAATGAGTTATTGTATTTTTCTTGGTGTCGTCTGTGTTTCAGGGTAGTGATCAACCCAAACAGTAACTGTGGTAGTTGCAAATTTTGTCAGAAAGGCCAACCACACTTCTGTAAGACTGGTGGCATCCGTTCAAGTGTTGGAATCTGGCGTAATGGAGGGTGGTCTCAGTATTGCCGGGTTTCTGCAGAAGCTATTCACCTTGTTCCACCTCTGATACCCCTGCGACAGGCTGCTCTTTGTGAACCGTTCTCTTGCATCGCTCATGGATTTGACCTGTTAATGCCATTAACAACCTCATCGGACATTCTTATCTGTGGTTCAGGAATTATTGGACTTTTATTTGCCTGTTTATTTCACTTTCATGGCTACAGGGAAGTTACCATTAGTGAGGTCTCTGAGAGTCGGAGAAGCCTTGCAACTGGACTAGACCTGGGCTACCATGTTGTACATCCAGATGTTCTCGTGGATAGGTATAATGTTGCAAGACTTAATGGCGATGATGGATGGGGATTTGATGCTGTCATTGACTGCACTGGTGTTCCGGCTGCAATTGAACAAGCCATAAAATGGTTATGTTGTGCTGGAAAGCTGATTGTCTTTGGGTGCTGTCCAAAAGAGTCATCAATCAAAATTGATCCTCATGAAGTTTATGCTAAAGAATTGAAAATCATCGGGTCACTTATTAATCCTTTTACTTTTCCTAAAGCTATTCAGTTAGTGAAAGATATGTCTGAGAAGTACTTGAAATATGATAAGCTAGGTATTGCTGTTTTTGATTTGCCAAGCTACCAGTCAGCTCTTGATGCCTTGACTAGAGGTGAGATTTCCAAAGCTGTATTTCAGATGTAAGAGAATACACCAAGTCCACCATAAATAAACAAAAAATTAATACACATTGAAATTTGATCATGTCATAAACTAAAATGTTGTTTTACATGCAGTTTATTTCTTACTCTTTAAGTACTTGTATCAATTTGGTTTTAGAGTTGCTCCTGGCTTAAAGTCATTGTTCCAGTAACATAATTATTTGTTTTTCCTCAAAACAATATAAATAAACAAAATTAATATTTGTGAATAATTTGTCCTGCAAGGCCTTAAGTATAGTTTTTTGTGTCTGAGGTTGTGCTTTGACAGAATATTGAAGGGTGACGTAAGATAGAAAAGGGCGATGGTCAAGCTGTAAATTTTTTTGGCTTGGGGTGGGAGAACTGGGCAATTTAATGATATGGTCTCTCTATTTTCAATCCTAGAGTAAACTGGACACAAAAATCGCAAATCAATTCAGGCGCGGATCCACACCAGTTTCCACCATATTACAGAAATCGGTCATATTTTTCATAATAAACATATTTTTGATAGTAATAAAAAAAACTTTCCCAATGTAAATCTGCAAATCGTCAGGGCTTGCCTTGTTCCGTCCACTACAACACAAAAATTGACCTTGGTGAAATATTAAATCTGCCAAATTGTCGGTAAGGTTTCATCCGGGGAGAATGGAACTGGCCAATATCCTGTCTGAAAGACTCAGAAACCCAGAAAAGAAGACTCAAGGGAGTTAAAATCTAACAAATTGCCAGGGAGAGCATGCCCTGGACCCCTCTAGAAGCTTGCACCTGCAACGCTCATTTAGGAAATCAGTCAGTATTTATCCTAGATCTGTGCCTGCAATTCCAGCCAGTAGTGAAGATATACCAGTACTCCTATTGAGAAAAATACTGAATACTCGAGTATAATCCTGGGGCCATAATAGAGAAGCTTTTGCATGCTTATGTTAATTTCAATTTATCCGCCACTGTGCCCTGCAGGCTATTTACAGGTCTTTTGAGGGACCTTAAGTCTGGCGGGTGGAAGAGGGGGTGGGGGAAGGCTACAATGGTCTTTACAGCTCTGCCTGAAAGGTTTAGGAAATCCATCATTTTTTAGTGGAAGGTATACAAAAGGGGCCTATGAAAAAAAGGAATACTTCAGGTCAAAAGGGCGGAGCTTCTGTTTGGGGCGAGGAGTTCGGGTTTTGTGACTCAGTCACACTCCTCTTTACCTCTTTCAGATTATATAAAGGTTCCTGGAAACTGCCGTGCCTTATTACCCCTCCCCTGACGTAATGTTAACATTAAGCCACTTCTCACTTGGAGCAAAAATGTTTGGTTAAGGGAGGAGGGGTAGATGGGTATTTTACCAGACCATTATACTAATCCACCCTTATAGCTCAAGATTAAATCATTTTACCTTCCATATCCTCCTCTTTCAAACGTAGACTCGAGAAACTATTGACCGTTAGTACGAGCGTTGCCCGGTCGATTGTCTTTCTTTTTGGAGCTGGGAGGGGTCATCGGGTTCCGAATGTTTCTCGCCCTAATCTCTCACGTCCAACAACATCAACTATCAAGGGCAGAGTATCAAGGGCAAAATAGCAGTGTTGCTCACATGCTCTAAAGTTTTCGCTTTTTTGTTTTTTCTCTTGTCTCTTCTGCAAAATAATGAACAACGCGGTTCAGTTATGGGACGGACATCTTTCTGTGATCACAAGGCCTGTTCCTCATGTTCAAAACCCGACCGACGTTGTCGTTAAAATCACATACTCGGCGGTTTGTGGTACAGATCTGAAGATCCTGGAAGGCAAGTTTCCTTGTGAGAAATCCGTTATTATGGGGCATGAATTTGTTGGCGTCGTCAAAGAAGCTGGAAGTGAAGTTAAAAATGTGTCTGTTGGTGATCGGTAAGTGTCCTATACTCATTGATTACTTAAAAGCTCACAGCAATCGTGATACAGTCGATACCCGATAACTCAAACTCATAACTCGAACTCGAAAAAAGTTCCAGTTATCCATATCGCTCTGGAGCTTGGAGCAAATACCCAGAAATAAGGAAATGAGATGTGGAAGGAATGCAAGCATCATGCACACTTCACTTCAAGGGTAGCAAGAGATATATTGATATTTTTTTAAAAGGAATATAAAGAACACATAGTTGTTTTGATAAATGGGTCAATTTAGGTTACCCATTTACCCCTTCCTTAAGCCAACATTTTGCCTTAAATGAGATAGGGGAGGGCTAGGCAGGCAGTTTTCCAGAAACCTAATAAAGGGGCAGTGTAACATGCAGACTGTGGACTGACTGGGACTATTGCTTTTAGGGTTAGAAAACAATGACTGTTGTTGTCACCTACTCATTTGCATGGTGAAAACACTAGTCCAAAGTCTGTGTTTTACACTGACCACCTGATAAATTGGATCAATAAATTCAATGGTTCAGACTGCAGTACAATTTTCTTTTGACTTGTCATGCGCTTAAACAAGGTTTGAGTTATTGAGGGTAAAATTATATAGAAAATAATGATCTGTAGGGAAACAAATATTACTTCGAGTTAGCAGGAGGTTTGAGTTATCGAGGGTTCGAGAAATCGAGAGTAAAATGACTGACAGTAAATGCATGGATGAAATCAAGGGGAAATTCTGCGATTTCAAAATGGAAGTAATAATGGAAGTAATAAAGTGGTAATTGAACTTGTGATTTCAAATGGAACTCACGCTGTGCGCTCGTTCGATTTTGAAATCACGTGTATAATTTCAGACCAAATTGCAGTCCACTCAGTTCAATTACCATTATAAACATGTCCAATTTAGTCACACAAGCATTGATTTACAATGGTAATTGAACTGAGTGGAGTGCAATTTGGTCTGAAATCATACACGTGATTTCAAAATCGCAGACCAAAATTGCACGAAACGAAGTTCAATTACCACTTTATTACTTCCATTTTGAAATCGCAGAATTTAGTCATGACTAATATTTTATTGACCAAGTAGCCAGTTTGAAATCACTGGCTATGCATGCAATCTGATTGGCTCTCAGCGGTGTGATTTATTCCTAAGTCGCACCATTTTTTGCTCTAAATCGCATCTGTTCCAAATTGCGTCATTCATGTTCTAAATCGCATCATTTCTGTTTCAAATCGCACCATTTTTGTTCCATATCGCATCATTTCTGTTTGGAATACAAAATGAGATGTAAAAGCCTTTTTGTTTCAGCGTATGATTTCAGACCAAATTGCACTAAGAAAAAAAACATGGAGTAGTTCATAATAATTGGTTCCCTTGACCACTAAGTTTATCTCCGGACATGTTGCAAAAATTTCTGACAGACAAACAACTTAATGATATTGTGCAAAAATAATGGCGGTTGCAGTTGATTGCCCTCATTTTCAATCAGCTGTTGTTAATGTAACATAACTCTTAAGCAATGCAAAATTATACAGATCAACTTACAGGGCCAGCCGCAAAACTATTTGATTTTGAAGCCCTGCGTAATTCATAATTGCAAGGTTGATTGTGTTTTGTTTATTTGGCAGTGTTGTCATTAACCCCAACACAAGCTGTGGAATGTGTGACAACTGTTCAAAAGGACTACCTCATTTCTGCAAATTTGAGGGCGTCAAGGCCACTATTGGGATAAGGCGGAATGGAGGATGGGCCCAATATTGTAGATTACCAGCTAAGAATACAATTCCATTACCCCATCAGCTATCTTTTGAGCTTGGTTTATTGATTGAACCAATGTCGTGTGTCGTCCATGGATGGGATCGCCTGCAGCCAATTTCAGCCGATGCAGAAATCTTAATTTGTGGTGCTGGGTCTGTAGGTCTTCTCTTCATGTGCTTATTGTATTTCAGAGGCTACCGAGAGGTTGTTGTCACGGAGCTGTTAAAAGGACGTCAAAGGATAGCACAAAAGCTTAATTTCGGCTTCCAAGTTGTGCACCCAGAAATTTTGGTTTCTGAAGCTAGAAATGCAAAAAATGAAGGGGATGATGACTGGGGTTTTGACATTGTCATTGATTGTTCAGGAGACCCAAATTCACTTGAACAAGGGATAAAATGGTTGCGTCAAGGTGGTAAATTTCTTCTTTTTGGTATATCACCCGCTGGGTCAGTAGCAAAAATAGATCCTCATGAAGTGTGTCTCAAGGAACTTAAGATAATTGCTTCAAGGATTAATCCTTTTACCTTCACTTCAGCCATGCAAATAATTCAGGACATGGGAGAAAAATACTTGAGCTTTGAAAAATTAGGCATGCGCACATTTCATTTGCAGGAATTCACTGCAGCTTTGGAAATACAACGTAGTGGAGAAATTTCAAAAGCCGTGTTTGAAAATTAAGGGAAATGGAAGTTTTTGCTACAGCTAGTAAAACAAAATTAATGATACATGTGTTGGACTCTAGAAGTTCTAATTAATTTTAGCATGTTAACAGAAACAGTGCCTGCACTATCACTCCTAATTTGAAAAGTAGAGGATCGCACTTTTTTCAAGTTTTATAATAATGTTAATATTAACGATAATAATATCATAATATTTAGACCTTTCTGGAAGAAAACAATTTCATGTACTCTTGTGCTTCAACATTATGTTTTCAAAACTTAGACTCCCACAAGTTAGCGTGGTTGAACAACACAAGTCACTTTGACTTAATGGATGACCCAAGCAAAAGGATTAGTCTTTAAAATACATTAATGCTATAAGTGCATTAACAATTATGTCACTCTATAAAATACTAACTACTGGCTAAAGATGTACATTTATTACTGTAAACAAGTCCTTGTTAATAAAGTACATGTACCGTAAATCCTCTATTAAGCCCCCCGGGGGGCTTATTTTTTTCAAGCACTTTTGAGGGGGGGGGGGGCTTAATAGAGAGGGAGGGTTAAAAGAGAGGGGGGGCTTATTTAATTTAGCGAAACGGATCACCTGTAGCAAAAAATTAATACTGTGGTATGAGACAGAGTAGACTTACGCGTTGTACAATTAAAGTCACTGTCAAAAGTATTTAATTCTCTTGTGGGTGCCTAAAAGTAACAAAAACAAAATTCTTATTCTTCAAAAATGTGCTTTCGGCCTCATGTTCTTCTGTAATTTTTATGAATAAACCATAACTGATCAGTCCACGTTAATCGTTAATTCTTTTTTTTTTTGAAGAATAAGGATTGGGGGAGGGGGAGGGGGGGGCTTAATAGAGAGGGGGGGCTTATTAACGTTCCTCCTCTGAAAAGGGGGGGCTTATTTGAGAGGGGGGGGCTTAATAGAGGATTTCCGGTATGTTAAAGGTACAAGGTAAAGGTCTGTAATTTTTGCGATAAAAGTTAACATTCACAAATCACAACATTCTGACCTCTAGCCAATCTATGAGGTGATTTTCAAGTTTGAGAACAAACTATAAAGAAATTATTTTTTTGTTATTCGCCCTTGAAAATGAACTCAAAGAGATCTTAACGTAGTGACTTCTTTATGTTGTAAATGTGATCTCTTTTTAACTCCGATTGATGAAAGTTAATTATAGGTACCTTACTCAGAGTAACAGCCTGCCAAGGAAATCGTGTCCAGTAGCTCATAAGTAGTGGATTTTGCTATCAGGCTAGTGAATTCTGTTCTTAACTAATGCCCGACAGGCAAGAAAAGTTGTTTTTAATAGGGAATTCAAATTACAGACAAACTGTGTTCAATCCTGCTCATCAAAAATTTTTTTGGGCTAGTTGAAATGACTGTTGTGCTAGTACATGCTGGCTATAGCTTTCCGGAATGGCCAGCTGTAAAACTGACTTTCTTTGCACCTTGCTGTAAGAATGGATGAGTGTTTGGTACATACTAGCTTTTTCGGGCTTCCTTCACTGCATCCTGCATAGCAGCATGGTTACGCCTCCACCAACCAGCAGCCCAACCACCAATATAATGAGACATATTCCAGCAAAAAAGCCTTTGTTAATCAGTAGGTCATCTTCAGTCAAATTGTCTAAGGAAGAACGAGATAAAGGTCAAATGAATAGACACTTGCAGCCTACCTGCAAACTTCTAACATTTACATTGTGCTGTTGATAGTATTGTTGTTATCTTCAAGCATAACATTAAAAATTGTACTAATATTAGCCTCTTATAGCTTCACCCAGCTGAGTTAAGTTTAATTATGAGTGACTGGCTTGTTGAGCACAGCACCCTGAGAAATTGCTAATCACATGCATTTTACGAGGAAAACTCACTACTCTGGGCTACTTGCTCAGCAGCCGTTCACATAAAAATCAACAAACAATGTTATCTCCCCAACACCTGTGACCTCAGCAAGATCTGACAATACAATCACCTCAATAAACTCAATAAACAGACTCTTAAATGTCAAATTTATATTATTATCATCTGTTTTATCTTGTCTAATGCTTAACAAACCATTATTAATAATGCTCCTGATGATTTATTTATTTATTTATTTTAACATCAAAAAATGCATACCTCCTGTTGTGCTTTCTTTGGAAGGGAATTCTGGTGGAGCAAAGAAGAAAAAAAAAACAGTTTCAGCCACCAACAAATTACAGACTGTGCTAGTAAGAATAATATGAAAATACGTAAGAAATCATTATTCAAAGCATCAAGCAGGGCTGTCTTCTAGCAGTCATAACTGCTGGCCTCAGGCAACTAATAGTTTTTGCTTTTGAACAACAAGAAAATTTTCCTTGCTCTTTCAAAAATGGAAATTAACTAAGGATACTGGATTCCCAGGCTCATTGTAGACAACTCAGATCTTTGAACCACACCTATAGCTATTAATTTTGCCATTTTTCTCAGAGCAAATCTTAACCACTGAGAATTCTATGTTTGTGAGTTGAAGGACCAAAGATATAAGCCTTATTAATATGAATAAGTACCTGGCTCTTGTTTACAGGGGCGTAGCTAGGGGGGGTCCTGGGGTACCCGTGACCCCCCCCTTGGTAGGCCTTCTTTTTGAGCAAACAACCTACAATATTCAGGTGGCGAAAATGCCATGACAATATCTTGGCCGTAAAAGCCATTGTTGAAAAGCCCACTTTTTTAAAATTTGTTTTTTTGTAAAGTATTTTCGTCAACGGCTCTTGTCTTTAGTTAGTATGGGCCTTCATGCCGCGATTATACGACTGAGCCCGCTGATTCACGTATAAGCCATATATATAGTCGGCGATCCCCGGATGGTGTCCCTGTCTGTGACCCCCCCTTTGAAAAAATCCTGGCTACGCCCCTGCTTTAGTTGTAACAGTAGAACCTACATGTAAAAAAGTAAAGAAAAAAAATTTGAGATTAAAACGGCAAAAAATGCCAAAAACCTACATTAAGCCAATCCCATATTATTAGTGATTTTAGGCTAAAAATGCTGGTCCAACCAGAGCATTCTAACTAACTAACAATGTACCTTTAGTATTACTGTCAAAATTGATCGCAACACTGTGAACATCTGATTGAAATATTCAAGGACTGCTGATTGTTTTAGCCACATGAATTCTCAAAAAAGATCAGAACCTATCAGCAGACTTCATGCTTGCAGTTAAGTTTTCTTACACCTGATTGACGACTTTCCTTGCAATACATGCCAGAAATACAAAGTAATGGGTTTATAACAGTTCTCTAAATTTCCTAGTAAATAAAACACCTGATCCTCTATACTACAGACAAGTACACTGCTGTACCTACAAGAACGTTTGCAATTGCCACTCACGTGAGTTGCCCCTACAGTCCAACACTTGAGAAGCTTTTGTTGTGCAGGCTCTTTCAGCATCACCAGTGCAAGGTAATCCACCACTCTCTGGATAAGGGCTGTCACATTTGCGACTCTGAAGGCCACCACCTGTACACTCACTCCAGTCAGACCAACCACCATGCACAACTACAGTGCAAAAATACCCAACATTACGGTACAATCCCTTAATTATGTACAATTATACAACAGAAGAACAGAGAATTACCGTATTTATTCGAATAAGTGCCCAAACTCAAATTAGCGCCCACCTAGAATAAGCGCCCATCCTAAAGGCAGAAAAAGTTAATAAGCGCCCAACCTCAAATAAGCGCCCACCCCACTCCCCCTCTCTCCCACTCCTACTTAAACTAAAATAAGCAACCACCCCTACCCCACCCCCCAAAAATTGAATAAGTACTAATATAAGAGACTTCCCCGAAGACAGAGTTTTCTTCAAAGTATTTTACAGGAACCTTGCTTTGTTACATCTTCGCGTTTTGTCATTACCATTTATTGTTTTGTTGCAAAATAAACATACTACACTTGTTGAAAATGCTGAAAATTTAATAAGCACCCAGCCTCGAATAAGCACCCACCTTGAATAAGCACCCACTCTCAAGGTCCAAAAATTTAATAAGCACCCAGGGCGGTTAATCAAATAAATACGGTAAGTTAAAGCAGAGATTGGAACTGAATGGAAAAATTATTTTACATACGGCTGGATCCCATTTGTCATTTTTCTTGCTTTTACAAATTTATTGTGAACACCAGCTTTATTTGTTGTTTTTGAATTGGTGAAGGGTGCAAGTACCTGAGATTCTGGCACATAATTTTTCAGGGGTGTTTCAGTGATTTTGTTTTATTACCTCTGAATCCTGCATCCCTCATGCATAAATATCCCCAAAGATGCAAAATAATTAATTCACTGGATGTGTCTGTAGTACACAAAGATCAAGCGATCTGAAGATGTTTTTGTAGAAAATCCTGTTCATGTGATTTCTGTGGCTGTTAATGTGGTTGTTGTTTAACGACTGATACATATTTATTCTAGTCCCCTCATTTTTTCTGTTTAAATTAAGAAGGACTATATTTTAATTTCGGTAAACTGTGATAAAGAGTTTTGGAGTCTGTCTTTAGATTCAGTAACTGCCTGGTTACATAAAGACCCAAGCTTTTCCAATTTAGAACTCATTGTTTTGTGACCTGGCATTCAATGGTTCTTGACTACGACTCATGATTTTTCACAAGATGAGTCCCAGGACTCACATAACTATTTCTAACAAAATCACTGGGTGATTACAAATTAATTTTCGTGTTAAGCACTCGACCCATCATTTTTATGGTTGAGCCAGCCGCACCCATAAGCATAGCGAAAATTGATTTGGTTCAAAGCCAAACCAGCCAAAGTTTCAGAACCTGACAAATCCATTTCCTTCTGCAACGACTGGCACAGTCGAGGCAGATTATAATATTATTACTGAGAAAAGAAACAAAAGAATAAAACAATACAACTTAACTTTCTGGCTATTTTGCTAATTGTTTTTGTTTTAATATTCTATGCCACAACAATAAGCAGAAAGGATTCATTTATAGGGACCCAACAAGCCCAACCCCATCAAGTGCTTTAATTTAGAACAACAAAAGAACAAGAGAAGTTCTTCCGGAGATATCTTGCCTAACATGCAGTTCTTAGCACATTTTTTTTAATACTAACATTCTTAATCTTTTAACTCCTCTTTACTTTGTTTGCTTGCATGTGCATATTAATTTATAACACTGTTTACACACATGAGCTAAATATTCCACAGAAAAATTCAACTTGCAAGCAACAAAAATGTTCCTACAATTTACCTTGATTTCCATGACCCGTGAATCCCAGTAAGGGGAGGAACGTGTGTATTTAAAAGTAAAAGTAGACCAACAGAAACGTTGCAGGCGGAAGGTTCAAACAATTACTCCATTAATTAGGTCTACGACATAGACATTATGAGATGATACAGTTCATATTTTAAACTGAGTTACAGTGATCACTGTGTACTATATCATACATGCCAACCCTCCCGGATTATCCGGGAGTCTCCCGGAT